TGTAACCCCACTCAACATATGAATGCTCTTCTTTTTTTGGCCTTACCACCATTGGGTGGGAAAGGGAATAATTAGAACTAAGGGTGCCAGGAGTGATAATTGGTGTTTTTGAGGAGATGAACATTTTGACACATTCTCAGAAATGTATAGTGTACAGTACATGCTAGTCAAGTTCTTCATTTTGTGTAAATTCCATACACCTGCATGAACTGCACGTCATTAAGGGCATTTTGAAAAGTCTAGCATCTCGTGAATGAATTTCACAGTGGACCGATTCAAGAATTTTTTTTTTGTAACTGATCTAGTGAAACACTTTTGAGTTATGACAAAGGAACCACAAGGTTTAATATTTGTTCTAAAAAATCATGAGTTACAAGTAGCTGTTGCATTGGTTCCTGTGTTATTGATTGTGTACAATTTTTGCATGACATTTGGCAGAAGTGAGGCCTTCCTAAGTCTTATTTTCTAGCATCTATCCCACTCTTGTTCCTTCCAGCATCCTGTGCTGTCATTCCCCCCCCCCCCCCTCCATCCCCCCCAACCATCTTCCCCCAAGTCTTTGGCAATTGATCCGAGATCCCAATCTCTCAATATTGAGTTCACGGAAAAGAACGAAAAGGGGATGGTATCCCAGCCAAACGGTGCCAGTTATAACACAATGCTGCCGACACTACTCCCTGAACCCCCAGGAGGCCGGCTGTAAATTACCGGGTCCGACCCCTCTAAGCTGCCGAGACCGGACTGTCTCTGGGTGCTAAACATTTTTCACAGTACACTTAAGGTACATGCATAATGCAGGAGACATGGACACAGTCACACCAGTTGGTTTCTTTCTTCTTCACGTCTTTACCCCTTGTCGCACTCTGACGACTCTGCTTCTGTTTTTGTTGTCCTTCCTTCCATCGTCGTCATCGGATGAAGTCGGTAACTTCATAGCAACCCAGCATCTTCCTCTGACTCCGAGGGAAAACAACGGAGTCTGCAGGGCTGGGGGAAGATAGAAGTAGAGCGAGGGAGAGGAAAAAAAAAAATTAAAGAGAAGCACGATTGACTGGGTCTTATAAAGAGAGGAAGACACGGAAGCCCAAGGATTTGCACGGCCAGCCATCGCGTCGGCACACTGGAGCCTGCATCCCGGGGCTAATTGTATTAGCTCGCTGGCTGCCGTACGACGCCGTGCATCTCTCGCCTCTCTCCTGGGAGGTCTTGGCCGGCTCATGTCCTCTCCTCACCTCCTTTTGAGCCCCCTCGCCTTGCGCCAGTGACGCCGACGCCGCGTAATGGTATTGTGTGTGTGAGTGACTCAATTTGGTTTGTATTTTTTCACCGGCAAGCTCGACTGTTTGCCCATAGCAAAGATGCCTAGGTCCAGAGATCCCATTTATGGGATGCAGTCTTTATCCATCTCTCGCTGCATCATCTTATAACCCCCCCCCCCCCCATTCTTCATCTTCGTCGTGATCCGCGTTGTTCTCATCATCTCTCCTCTCTCCTGGAGAAAACCTGTCACCCTTTTCCTTTGTCTACACGGGCATGTAGCTCAACGCGTGGTGGTTCACGGAGACCTGATATATCGCATAGCTGATACAGGGTTTACCGCAAGCTGGTACCAGCAACGTGTCAGGGTGGTTAACAAGTGTTCTCTCGCTTTTGTCCCCTCCGTACGTTGAGCCAAAATCAGGAGATATTTCCTTTGTGGTTGGGGCGGGAGGAAAAAAGATAATGCCTGCAACATTAACTAGAAAGCTGTCTCCTTTGTTGTTTTTGGATATTTTCAAGATACTTCTTACCATAGTACATGTACATGTATGGTATGCAAAACTGTATGGGAAGATACATTTTTTCCCCTGTAGAAATTCTGCCATGAAATGTTTTTAATTTGAAAGGTGGTCATGTTGTATTAACAACGTTATGGGGGGGGGGGGGAGTGGGAAAATACATTTTCTCTTCTCTAAAAAAATTGTCTTAAAGTCTTCTAATTATTAACATACATGTACAATGTATGTAGCAATGCAGAAAGTCATTTCTTACAATGTATGTTCATGCGCACATGTCACATTGTATATTTTTGATGATTGTTGTGCATACAAGTGTGTTATATGCATGTACATGTATGTATGTATTTCAGAATTATATTTAAAATTAATTTTTTAATCAGTGATGTTAAGACTTGTCTCACTTTTTTCATCTGCAATGATCCTAAATTCTATAAACACTCAAATGCATTCAACAAATTAGTTTAAAGGTGCAGACCAGTCAGAAACATTGTAAGCGTTCAATGCACGCTTTTCATGTAACTTCACAAATTTGAAGGGATTGAAAACAGGTTTATCTCTACATTGCTGTATTCAACATTTCTAAATTAAAATAAATAAGTACAATACCGTAGATACATTTTTAATTGGCCCAAATATTAACCCTCCTGCTATTTAAACAGTCACAGACAGTCAACACTTCCGTCCACTTCCCCTGCTATACTTTTAACACAGGCAAGTCACCAGCAGTCAGATCATACATGTATGTCAAGCAAGCACTGTGACTAGTCAAACTCAGTCAACAGACCATGAACAGACAAAGCAGGCAAGTTGTGGGCACAGCTGGCATATCAATTACCCACAGCCAAAGCAGAGCTGTATCGAGTTACATGAACAGTCACAGCCAGTCAATATTGCTTTATGTAGGCTGGGAATTCTTAACTGTTGAAAACAGTCACTTGATTGATTTTGACTGAAAGGACTACTTGGCATAGAAATGTACGGTATGTTTCCATAGGAGGGTCTCAAAATGAAAACCTAATTGTGAAGTATATTTACGCAAGCTACACTCCACTTTTATTTTACAAAGCATCAACTATATCAACATGATTTACATCAAAGCTTTGGGAGCACTTTTGTACTTGATGACCTAGAAAAAAACCTTCAGATTATTTTCAAAAACAATCACATTGGCCCTTTAATACCACAGCGCATGTCGTGCATGCATGCCGTTGTTATCTCGTATGCCATACAGCGTATGCCAGACTACACGCATTTCCTTTGATGTAATCTCGCCGACAAAAGATGTGAACACCTGTGGCTGCTGGACCAGTTCCCAGCGTTCCACTCCACAAAATATGATAATTTATAAAAAAAAAATTTACATTCAAAGTCAACACAAACCTACATTGTATCCATGAGTTTGGAAGTTGTTTTTGTGTTTCTGGGGGTTCATAGTTAGCAAGCAGTGGGGTGTGACAAAATTATATTTCCTTAATTAAAAACATTTTTTTTTTTGCATATTTACATTCAAATGCACGACTATGTACATTTGTCATTCTATAGATTTGGGGTCCACTTTTTTCCCCTGTCCCTGTTACATTTGACATCTTTGGTTTTATTATAAGTCTCTGTACTTATGACACTTTGTTTACATGTGCACTTTCCTATGGAGCCAGTGGGGGCCCACGGTCCACTGAGCACCGTAGGAAAGCACACACGTAAACAAAGTGTGACGTCATTACAGAGGCTTATTCTAATGCACTCCTTAATGCAGTCGTCCTCGAAGAGTGTTTATGAATTGCAGACTACAATGTACATGTACCTACATGTGTCCCAACAAATAAAGAATCGTCATTCTTTATGATACTTGAATGGCAAATTGCAAAGTACCAAGGTAACAAGGACAGGATAAATGTCACACTTTGGACCCTACATTTTATGGAATGACCCACAAACAGGTAGTCTATGTAATAGACCACGGCGAATGATCTATTATGCGCTAACAGATTTGCTGATTAATTAGGCAAGACCCCGCCTCTTGACTTCCTAGATTTTGACCAATCAGCAGGCGCTTTCTATAGGTCTATCGGGTCTTCGGTCATTCACCTGTTGCGCGTCATAGACATGGATTTAAAAATGTGCTCCCGGCTGTTGTTGTATTACAAAACGCTGCATTCGAATTGACCAATCACAGTGTTAGTCCTGATTTTGGGATGAAGTGACGTCACGATTTAGTTAAGTCGACTCCGATTGGCTGGCGCGCGGCTTGCATAAATCTGCATGCTTCGACATATCAGACGTTAGACAGGAGATGGCTCCGTGGATAACGGGTGATACTCAGACTAACAAACAGGAAGCTGTGTGTAAAAAGAGACAACAGATCCACACACACAAATAATACATGCTTGGATAGATACAAAGTACATGTATAATTTGTACCGGTACATGAACCTGTACTGTATCATTGTATGTGTAGAAAATGTTTACATGATATATGTACATTGTACATGTACAACATAAACGATGATAGCACCAGTAGTTGGCTGAAAAAAAATCAGTATCATTGTGAAGGGTAAACAGTACCTGTATGTATTCTACCCAAAACTCCTTTACTTAAGACCTTAGACTGACCTTTTTTTAACCCTGCAGGATTTTTGACCCTCGAACAAGGGACTGTACTGTGCACTACTCCATACGAATGACACACTGCACCGTGGGGATGTGTACATGTACAGTGTACTTGTACAGTGTACCATTGCTAATTTGTGTCAGGCTGCATATATACATGTACATGTACATGTAAAGTCATTTAGCATACAGTAAATTTGTTAAACAACTGATTCTTCGTCACATTATTCCTCCATGCTTTGTGTAAGAACTACATGTACCTGAACATATACCGGTACATGTAAACGAAGTCGATATGAATGAATTGTTAATGGACACTTTCATGTACATTGTTTACTAGATTTCTGCTGGTCATACATGTAATTCTCATATTGTTTTTCTTTGTTATCTTTGAAATTTTAATTGGGGATTTTTTTAAATCAGATTAAATTTCATTTACTCTGTAGATTGCAAGGAGAGACCAGTTATTAAAAATGTGTTTATATCGAACTGTGGTTATGCCCGTAATTGCAGACTATAAATTTATGCCAAATAATACAAGGCAGACAAATATCAAGGAACTTAAATTCAAATCATTTACCCTGTTTTTGGTCTCGTCTTGTTTTTCCCCTGCAGAGTGAGAGCCCAAGTCGCAAGCGCAGAAGAATGTCGCAAGGTGCGGTGGACCTGTCCACGTCGCCCAGCCCGCCCAGCCTGGTCCGGCCCTGGCAGACCTCGACCAGCCTGGGCAGCGGCCAATGGCCCGGCGGAATCGGCCAGGGGACGGGCTACCAGGGAAGCAGCCGCTACAGCCCCGGCGACTGGTGCAATAGCTCTGGCTGGAGAACGGCTGGCAGAAGAAGGTGAGAGTAAACTTAACTGATAGCAACATCTGGATCCCCCCCCCCCCCCCGAAGATTTTAATACGACAAGGATGGAGTTAGGGGAAGGGTTGGCATGGCATGTGGGGAGAGTGTGGCCTAGTCAGGGTTTGTGACTCATGATCAGATGGCGAGAGGCTCCAATCCTGCTGCTGGCCATACGTTGTGTCCTTGGGCAAGCTACTTCACCCCCACTTGCCTCTCTTCACCCAGGAGTATAAATGGGTACCGGCAACAGCTGGGGAGTAACCTGCTGTGGACTGACAACCCATCCAAGGGAGTAGAGAATTGTTTCATGCCACAGAAACCGAATATAAATGCTGACCTGATAAGCCATATTGGCTCGGAACAGATTTTACTGGCTTACTATAAAATCAGTTCAAGGTCTCACTTGCTAAAGACCTGTGGTATCTGTATTTGCTGACTTCAAAACCTCGGCCAACAGCATCCCCCCCCCCCCCCTCGACACACACATTTTTAAAGATCCTGGAACCACCACTGCACTGTACTGCTTTTCGTTGCTCAAGTTTCCAATATTCTTATTATGTAAATTCCAGAAAATTTTACAAATTTGCTGAAGCCAGGGTCATGCCCTAAGTTGCAGTGCTGCCTAGAAAGTGGTTTTCTGTTTTGCATTGCTTTTTTTTGGTTCAAAACATTCCCAAAAAAATTTAATTGAATCAGTTCTTTAGTCGCATTTATAAAAACAAAATTGGACCATGTGTCCTAAGCCCCCCCAAAAAAGTCTCCGGTTTCTGGTATGCGCGCGCGTCGCCGTAGCCATGCGCGTCGGCAAAATGAAAAATTTATTTTTTTAATACAAGATGATGTCTCAAAACCGCCAAACTCACTGGTTTGACTGGAATCCTGCTGCTGCACAATTTTAACGTGTTTTTAGATGGGGTTATGATCAAGAATAAGCTTTATGTGGCCTCTCTGGACTCCCATATATTTGCACTACGTTTAGTCGGGCACCATTTGCAGTCATCAGCCGACATTTGAAGCCAAAAAAAAAAAAAAAAAAAAAAACAGGTTAAAAAAAAAAAAAAAGCCGCGTCGCCGCACCACTTTTGGGGCAAGCTCCATACCAGAAACCGGAGACTTTTTTTTGGCCTAATGTGGCTCTTTTTTGTACTACTTGGAATCAATTTTGTTTAACGGTATTGTTTCGGGGACCCCCCACTCCCCTTTTTTTAAACAAACCATTCAACTGATATCGTTCAACTCGAGGAAGTTGAAGGATCTACTGTACACAGTCTATAACATTTAGTTGCGGTCGAGCCCAAGAAACAGACAATTCAGTCTGTTTGGCCAGGCCTGAGAAACTATTTTGTTGGTCCCAGAGGGCCTCTTTGTACCTGGCTGAGTGACTCACTGACTTTCACTTGTGAATTAGACTTGACCAAGCCACACCTTGGCCAAACAAAAGATTGACTTTGATGACTTCGGCCGTGTCTGATTTACTCGGCTACGGCTGGAAGTTACACACAGACCTATGGGAAGCGGTTACAGCCACTTCCCATAGATCTGTATGTTAATCCCAGCCGTAGCGAAGTAATTTGGACATGGCCTACTTAGACCCTCTGACCACATTGGTCTGGGACCAGTTTTGCTAGACCTAGACTCCTCTGATCACATTGGTCTGGGACCAGTTTTGCTAAACCTCGACCCTCTGACCACATTGGTCTGGGACCAGTTTTGCTAGACCTAGACCCTCTGACCACATTGGTCTGGGACCAGTTTTGCTAGGCTTGCGTAGTCTTGTTATGTTTGTGTTGGCCTTATCGGTATCCTTTTTGTGATTTGTCATCAGTCCGCCATCAATGAGGAGGCAGAGCCAACGGCAGCGCGAGCGACAGCTCCGCAGCCAGAACAACCAACAGCAGCAGCAGCAACAGCAGCAGCAGCAGCAGCCGACGGCGAGCGGTGGGGAGCGACGGGCGTTCCATCCGCCCAATCTCCAGACGACGCACCACGCCACCGTGCTTCCTCCCCCACCCTCGCACCATCTGCCCTTCCAGCCCCACATCATTATTGACCTCAGCAGTGATGTCAGGGTAAGGCCAAAATCAAAAAACAAAATGTCAAAAGTCTGTTAGTCGCACCAAGTCTTGCGGTCATCAATCCGTCACATTCTCAGCCTCCGCACTCCGATACTCTCTTCTGCAATGCATCACTACTGCACCATCTGAACCAGACTTTAACCCTGCTGAATCCAAACCCCTTTTTACACTATACAAATCTCGGGGGTTGACGCAGTGTTGACGCAGGGTTGAAAAGATGCATTGTTTCACACTTGAAGAATTTCAACCCTGCGTCAACCCTGCGTCAACCCCGAGATTGATTTCGCCCAGGTTGAACTCAACCCTGCTCCAGACCAGGGTTGAGATTTTCAACCCAGGTCGAAATTGTTGCCAGGGTTCAAAACAGTAGTAATTGAGCATGATAAGCTTGATTTGCATGAAACCAGTGTGAAACGATGCGGGGTTGAACGCGGGGTTGAAAAATCAAAAACTCAACCCGGGGCGGCACTTGGTTCGCCCAGGGTTGAGTTCAACCCGGGTTGAGAGGCTCTAGTGTGAAAAAAAAGCTCAACAGGATCCAAGCATATCATATACCCGCTGGAGCCTGTTGGATTGAGCAGTAAACCCCTGGTGTACATTCCTGTTTGCAATATGTTGGATTCAGCAGGCAGCTGAACCGCATTATAACGCCAAGTTGGACTCTGTTGGATCCAGCAGACAACTGAAAATAAGGCACAGAGGGATTCTGTTGGATTGATCAGGAACTACTGTTGGACTCTGTTGGATTTAGCAGGGTAGTCCCGAGGAACTACTAGGGGTTTAGGGTTAATTAAAGACATATATTAGATCAATTGCATGTATCCCAAAAGTAACTTTCAGAATTTTTCAGGTCAGGTTTTTAACATACCTGCTTGGATTTTGAGCGGTGTTATTATTGGAAACAAACAAAAAATGAATGAAAAACAAATATGCCATATGACTTTAAATGCGTGTTGAAGAATCATTTATTTTAAATTATTAATGATTCCTTCGATTGATTTGTCATTTTATGTACAGATCCACCCCTTCGCAGTGTTGCAAGGGGACATATGGCCTTCAGAATCTTTGTACTATTGGGTATCGCCTGTCACTCACATACATGTAATTTGACAAGCATTGTATACACAGTGTTGTCCGAGAGCTTGCAAGGAAAAAATACTCAAGTTTGTTAAGGTAGGACTTGAACCGACTACCTCTTGCTTATTGCTGCAGCAGTCTTAACTAGCGTACGAGTATAGTCCAGCATGCACCAGTAAGCAGAAGGTCGTGGGTTTGAGTCCCACTCAAGAAAGCTTTCGGACGACACTGACTATACTAGGTTTATAAAATTATGTTGATGGAGGGCAAAAGCTAATATTTGATTTATATATCCCTGATGCAAAATTCCATCATTCAAGGTACTGCAGAAACTAATTCTAGTTTTATGAACTCAAGTTATTTAACCTGTATTTCAGGTGGTACATGAGTAACAAGCTTGTCCTTCGATTTGTCCTTTTCCCGCAGGCTCACGTGCCAACCACAGCGCCCATCTCAATCCCCGTCTCGGTTCCGTCCTACGCCGTGCCCATGTGCACCGCCCACACCATCCCGACCTGCAGTCTGCACCACGGGCCCTACGCGCCCATCCCAGTCACCGCGGGCGGCCGGCCGGCCCACCATGGCCCTCCGCCCCCACCCGCGCCGATCCCCATCTGCAGCATGGGTCACATCCCCATGTGCAGCGTGCACATCCCGGCCTGCAGCGGCCACCACCTGCCGGTCTCGCAGGCCTCCATGCCTCATGTCTTACCTCAGGAGTCGTTAATGACGCATGTACACCACCACCACGTGCCTCCACAAGTGCAGTATTTTGCTGCCCCTCCGCCCACGCAGGTGAGTACGCCCCTTCCCCCCTCCACAAGCTGAACACAAGTTGAGCCCATCCTTGGAAACTGAGGGAACTGAATAATAAGATGGACATTGAAGTAATGGACATTGAAGAAAGATACTCGCATTTGTTTTTTAGTGACTCTCGTACAGCTGTATTCAGATTTCATGTCCCAAAACATAATTTTGTAATCGGTACAACAAAGATGGACTTGTGATTTGACTTACAATATGATTTGTGATTTGACTTGTGATATCATTTGTGATTTGACTTGATATCATTTGTGATATGCTTGTGATTTGACTGACTTGATGTACTTGTGATGAACTTCTGATTAACTTGTGATTTGACCTCTGATCGACTTGTGATTTGACCTCTGATCGACTTGTGATTTGACCTCTGATCGACTTGTGATTTGACCTCTGATCGACTTGTGATTTGACCTCTGATCGGCTTGTGATTTGACCTCTGATCAGCTTATGAATTGACCTCTGATCGACTTGTGATTTGACCTCTGATCGACTTGTGAGTTCACGTCTTACGGACTTGTGATTGGGCTTGTGATGGTCTCGTAGTGAATTCAAGATTGAACTTGTGATGAGTGTGTGATATGACATGTGATGCATTCGGCCTGACAACCTCCTTAATCACTACCTGTGTTTGTATGGCTTGTTTTCTCTCCAATTCTCAGACGAGATCTTCGGAGGTAGAGATCATCGGAGAGAGGCCCGCAGCATTCCACGTGCCTTCCTCAACTCAACACAACCCCTCCCTCACCCCTTCCCCGCCGCTTCACCTTCTCCAAGAGTCCATCTTGCGCAATCAGGACATGCATCACATGGTGAGTGCCCTTCCCCTTGTACCTCCTCAACTCCAACCCTCTTAAGGACCTTTCTCACTCTGTCATCCGTGAGCAGAATTGGGTCCTTATGAACTCAGGTAGGCAAGGTATACCGTTCACGCTGGCGTGTACACCGGACAGCTGTAGATTTTGGATTTTCTACCCGGGTAGAGCCTGTCAACCCTGGTCCCAACTTTGGCACACTAGCTGGAACCATTCTCCATAAGATTTATTCAAGTTTGTCTTTTTACAAACCACTAACATCACATTGTGTTTTTCTTCTGCCATAACTTTCTTAAACTGTTCCAATTTTCACAAGTGTTTTTGTTTGTGCACATCTGCCTGAAAAATCATCAGCAAACATAGAAAAAGGTTAGTGTTGTTAGTTTGTGAAAAATGAACCCCAAATTCATTTTTTTTTGGCTGTTGTCCATTACCCGACAGCACGCGTACCGGAGTCTGAACACCATCAGGCAGCAGCAGCAGCAGCAGCAACAGCGGAGGGCCCAAGCCACGCGGCCCTGGAGGAACCAGGTCTCGTCCTCGGTGCCAGTCCAGCCCTCGTACCCTCCCACCCTCCTCCTGCGATACCTGTAAGTCTTCCACTCGCGTTTTCTCTGCCTCATTCCAAAGAGACATAGTTTGGTCTCAGACTTTTGGAATTAATGAGTTTTAAGCTTTTTGTGTCAGTGCTGTGACACACACCAAATTTTAGGCCAGCCATTTTAAAAAATATTTGTTTCCCAGTATATTTTTAATCATGGTAATACTTGTCTTCTAGAATGAAAAATTAATGCCAATTTGTGAAAGATTCTTCAAAGATGACCAATCAGAATTTTGTTTCCTATTTTACAAATCTATTGAAATCAAGTCTTTTACAAATTAAATCATGGTCAAGTTTTGACCCAGATCCACCCAAATCTCTTACCGGTAGTTTTGCTTGTCGCAGAGGGGCCACTCCATAGTCCACTTTGTTCCTGCCTGACTGACTGGCTAACTGACTGACCATCACTGTCACCAGTGACTTGGCCTGGTTGTTTGCTAGCGGAGAGAGCCGGGCAGTGCTATTGTATAGGATAACCTGGTAACAGGTTAAATCCGACCCATTGTGTACACCAAATGCATACAAAAACTATAAGTGAAAAACCAATCTGAATCAATTGAATACAATTTTGTGTATTTTGAAACCAGCTTTATTAGGCTAGCTCCTTGTCTTTTTTTTCATATTTGTTAGAATTCAAATCCCACAAACGGAATTACCCCCTTTTGTTTGCAGTTGAGATTATTACTTTCTTGTGTGTTTTTCCTATTTTTTGTTGTACCCCGAATAACTAAGCACTCTGCCCCAAGCATGTATTCATCTGGAGGATATGACAAATGTCGCTACAGAAGCCTTAAATAACCAACATCCTCAATAACTGTCATTTTTTTTCCTGCATAAAGTTCTCACAAATGGCCCATATTTCATTTTATTTACAATTTTTATTTCTGTCCACCTGTTTGTGCCATTTCCCTCAGCGGGGTTCTGCACTTTCCCCCCAAACCCCAGAAATGTTTCCCCTCTTACCTGTCACACATGGTGTTAGCATTTGCCAGCCCCCAACCCCCAACCACACCCCCCCCTCACCCACCCGGCCCAGTTGCATGAAAGAAAACTTTAAATTGAGTATTTGAAGTGAGGTTACAAAAGCTACCCTTGGCAAACCCTCCGATATAAAAAAAAAAAATTCACTAAAGACTTAAAAAGGTAAATAACATATGATTTTCTCATTTGTAAAGTGATAGTCGCCATAACTGTTTTGGTGTTCAGTTAGGTTGTAAACCCATATTGGCCGGCGTTTGTCATGCAACCTACTTCTAGCTAACTGATAATGTCTAGCATTCCCTACACAGTTTTCGTAATGATGCTCAGTTTTTGCAAATGATTCAAAACAAGAACTGCTCCAGTAAAATTGTTTGAAAATTCTTTACTTTTATGAGTTACATGTATAAAAATTGTCATGTTCCTGTTCTTCCTTAATTTATTGCTTTCCAAAATTCATTTGTATTTTAGTTGTCAAGTCGTCTGCTTCCTTCTTTAAAGTCTCTAAATTGGTTAAAATTTCAAATTTCTTTTTTCAAGGTTTCCGAGTCCACCGGTCAACCAGATGGAGCTGGAAAACGAAGATGCAGAAGTCGAAAACTACGAGGTACCTTAAGATTTTTTTTCTTCAATCTTCAACTTTCAAGATGACTTTGGCAGCGTGTGGGGATTCTGTCCAACAACACTAAATACAACTTGATTTGGCCCAATAAAAACGCATTAACCACCGATCAAGCATTATATTTCGGGGCAGAAGTTGGAGGCCGATGTAGATGATGTTGTGATGAGTTTTACGCATGCTGAAGCTTGCCCTGCAGATCAGCGCTTCTCTAGTAACAGATGTTCAAGGTCGCATTGCGTGGCCCCAGTTGGCAAGGCTGGTTGACCTGGGTTGAAAATCTCATTCCAGTTTATGCAAAGATTAGTTTCTCATCTGTACTTTGGAACTCCTTGTTGAAATACATTTTGAGCTTGAGATATTTAGAAACATCTTCACTGTCTTTTACGGGGACCAGTTTGCAATGAAACAGTTTTGAGCTTTAGATCATCCTCTACCCAGAGCTGTCATCGAGCAGTGTTGCAGTCGAGTCCATCATAAGGCCAGTCACAAGTCCCTTCATAAGGCCAGTCACAAGGCGTTTTATAAGTCCAGTCACAAGTCCCTTCATAAGGCCAGTCACAAGTCCATTTATAAGTCCAGTCACAAGTCCTTTCACAAGTCCAGTCACAAGTCCATTTATAAGTCCAGTCACAAGTCCAGTCACAAGTCCATTTATAAGTCCAGTCACAAGTCCTTTCATAAAAATCATAAGGCCAGTCACAAGTCCCTTCATAAGTCCAGTCACAAGTCCTTTCCTAAGTCCAGTCACAAGTCTTTTCATAAAAATCATAAGTCCAGTCACAAGTCCTTTCACAAGTCCAGTCACAGGTCCAGTCACAAGTCCTTTCATAAGTCCAGTCACAAGTCCTTTCATAAGTCCAGTCACAAGTCCTTTCATGAGTCCAGTCACAAGTCCTTTCACAAGTCCAGTCACAAGTCCTTTCACAAGTCCAGTCACAAGTCCAGTCACAAGTCCAGTCACAAGTCCAGTCACACGTCCTTTCATAAGTCCAGTCACAAGTCCTTTCACAAGTCCAGTCACAAGTCCATTTATAAGTCCAGTCACAAGTCCTTTCACAAGTCCAGTCACAAGTCCAGTCACAAGTCCTTTCATAAGTCCAGTCACAGGTCCAGTCACAAGTCCAGTCGCAAGTCCTTTCATAAGTCCAGTCACAAGTCCAGTCACAAGTCCTTTCATAATTCCAGTCACAAGTCCTTTCACAAGTCCAGTCACAAGTCCATTTATAAGTCCAGTCACAAGTCCAGTCACAAGTCCTTTCATAAGTCCAGTCACAAGTCCTTTCACAAGTCCAGTCACAAGTCCATTTATAAGTCCAGTCACAAGTCCTTTCACAAGTCCAGTCACAAGTCCAGTCACAAGTCCTTTCATAAGTCCAGTCACAAGTCCTTTCATAAGTCCAGTCACAAGTCCTTTCATAAGTCCAGTCACAAGTCCTTTCACAAGTCCAGTCACAAGTCCCTTCATAAGGCCAGTCACAAGTCCTTTCATAAAAATCATAAGTCCAGTCACAAGTCCTTTCATACAAATCATAAGACCAGTCACAAGTCCTTTCATAAGTCCATTCACAAGTCCAGTCACAAGTAACGGGATGAACAATTACAAAGGAATGCTTTTGTTACAGTTCATGTGAATAGCTAGTGACTTGACTTGACACTGAAGGACCTGTGATGGACTTGCAGGGACTTGCAGGGACTTGACTACAACACTGTCGTCGAGTCAATCACAAGCAAAATCACAAATCAAATCAAAAGTCAGGTCAAAGGATGCATGTACTGAGGATGAACACTATAAACAGTGACAAAGGAGTACCATTGTTACAGTTCATTTGAATACCTTTAACTTGACTTGAGTGATTGACCCATGATTGAACCATGATTACTTGACTTCAACTCCGTTTTCCACCCAAAGCCAAAAACATCCTCTGCATTGAAGCCATCTAAGAGATGCATGCTGTTGCTGCACAGGGATACGCATCTTGTGTGGGCATCGTTGCTGAATTTACAGTAGATAACAGAACGACCTCCAAGATGGTTGTTAAATGCAAACTGTCTATGTGGCAACATTTTGTTTAAAATTCTGATCTGTCTTTTGCAGGCTCTTCTGAATCTTGCCGAGCGTCTTGGTGAGGCCAAACCGCGAGGCCTGACAAAAGCCTACATCGATCAGCTGCCCTCCTACCTGTACAAGCCGGACACCCACCAGTCCATCAACGACCAAACTTGGTAGGTTTTGCCTTTCCCTTTGTCTACAGCTTGACCTTCCTTTTGTTTGATCAGTCACAGACAGTCAAAAAGTCAATCCTGTTCCCTGCCATGCCTTTTACACAGGCTCGTCACCAACAGTCAGATCGTATTTCTTGTAGGCACTGTGACAGTCAAATTCCATCAACTGACAAAAGCAGGCGACTGGTAGGCACAGCCGGCTTATCTGTCTCCTACAGTCAAAGTATTGCTGTATCAGGTTTCATAACAATCACAGCCAGTCAATCCTGCTTTATGAAGGCAGACAGCATTCAACTGTTAAAAACAGTGACTTGATTTATGTTGACTGCTGGGCTGGCCTTGTTGAAAATGCCGGCCAGAGAGGGAGGGTCAATTTGCATGTACAGGGTGAGTAAAAAAAAACCAAAACCTGAATGTCGGGACCATTGTTGAAGTGAAGTTCTGCATGTAGCACTTTCAAAATCTAGGATATGAAAGCCCAATTCATAAGCTTTCTTTTAGTACAAGAATCATTCACTCATGTACTTTTCAAGTTATGGAGTTTTAAACTCAACCACTGTATTAAAGTTCTGTCCACGGATCACTAAAAAGGTGTGCGTTCTTCCAGCAAAACGAAAACAATTCACACACATCCGTATGTGATTTGTTTTTTTTTTGCTGAAAGAACACTCAACTTTTAATGTGATCCATGGACAGAACCTTAAAATGGCGGTTGTGTTTAAAATTCAGTAATTGAAAAAGTACATAAGTAATTTGAATGATTCTTGTACTAAAAGAAAGCTTATGAATTGGGCTTTCATATCCTAGATTGTGAAAGTGCTACATGGAGAACTTCACTAAAACAATGGTCCCGACATTTGGGTTTTTGGTTTTTTTTACTCGCCCTGTATGTTAAAATTCTTCCAAAATTAAAGGGAATATTTCCCTTGTGAGTCAGTTGCCTTATCTGTTATTCACGTGTCCCTTTTTTCAGCTGTGTGGTGTGCATGTGCGACTTTGAGGCCCGTCAGCTGCTGCGCGTCTTACCGTGCAGCCATGAGTTCCACGCCCGCTGCGTGGACAAGTGGCTCAAGACCAACCGCACCTGTCCCATCTGCCGAGCCGACGCCTCCGAGATGAACAACCAGTCAGATTAGACGCCAGGTGAGGAGCGGGGCGCCCCCTGGAGTCAGGACGTTAGTCGCCAACCGACGCTCGTCCGGAGAAGTTTCACTTTTCTCGAATCATCGTCTACTTTGTTTTTCTTGAAATAGCGGGTATTGCATCAAAAGTTGTGTTGCCGTCGTCGTGGGGACGTGTGGTGTTTACACGAATCATTTACACTTCTCAGTATGTTTTGTTTTTTTTGTACTTTCAGGTATTTTTTTTTTCCTTTTTTGATTTGAAATCACATTGATTTTTTTGTTGTGCCTTAATATTACTCTGTGTGAGTTTTTTCATGTCAGGTATTTCATAATCGTTTTACAATGGCATTTTTTCTTCTCGTTTATCACAGTTGTCATTTAATCATTTTCTTAAATAATCTATCTCTACCACTCTTTCTGTGTAACATTGTTTGTGTTTTTTTGGGCTTGTATTTTGATTTTCACGTTCAGTGAATTTGCATTTCAATTCTTGGATCTTTCACAGTAAAAATTTTCAAAGGCCTTAATAGGAAAAAAAGTGTTTACTGTAGCCAAGGCATTCGATGGTAGAAGCATGACAATTAGAGCTATAGTATGCTGTGAAATCTACCACAACAAAAAATACTGTTCATTGCATGTTCTGTGTTTATACAATGTACAACATTTCCCTTGGGCTGTGTTTTAGCTCTTAACCAATGTCAATGCCTGGCACAGGTTTTCTTCAGCAAGTGTCCTCGTGCGTACAGTTTTTTGGACTTTCAGCTCTTACAACATTTGTAGTTAAAACAAAAAAAAGAAGTAATAACTTAACTAAAGTCATCTTGAACTTCCAATGTGCCTGGCTGTAGGGTAGAGGGCAGTGCTGTTTTTTTGGTAAAACATGTACATGTATAAGTCTGGTGGTGTGGGTTTTTATCAAGTAGGACCGTTGTCACTTTTGCGGACATGTTGTCACTTTTTCTCTCTTTACATGGTCTCTTTGAATCAATGTTAAATAGAAATAACCATCGTTAAACACACAGCTCGACGTTAACCACGCAATCCGTAGTTTAGCCAATCGGAAATGATCTTATATAGCGTCAGACCAGTCGGTCCTTGTTAAAATAGAGGCTAGCAGGAATGTGGTGCCCGCCTCCCCCCTTGATGTTAATGGACTCTTCTGAGACTTTTGAGAAGGGATCACCCATTTATTCCAAGGGGGGTTGTTGGTATTGCACTTCGTAGTGACTAAGAGGTGGTAGAGCAGAGAATTTTTTGTGTGAAATTTAGTCCTTTTTTTGTGATCATTAACTTTTCGATGTGTATTATGCGACTTTTGTTGAAAAACTAAAAAAAAAAAAAATTTGAAAAAAAAAAAAAATTGATGAACTTCTATTTGCGATTAACCAAACTATAGTATTCTTTAAAATATTTCCATTTAATACTGCATTTATATCATCGTTGTCATTTTTGTTGCCTTTTTGCGGGAATATATCGTTTTTTATTTTAATTTGTACTCGTTTTTGTTTTTTGGGGAAAACAGAAAAAAAAATACTCTAGAGAGAAATGCTTTGAATTAACAACTTATATAGATTGTATTTATGCAATAGTTACACACGTGAGGTGCTTTTTTTATAGGAGTCTTTACGAAAACTTTGAATCTTTGCAGGATGTTTGTGTGCGCGTGTGTGGTAGTGGGAGTGCATGCGTGTGTGAGAGTGCGTAGTGCTCTGTAATTGCAACCAGTGTTTGCTGAAGTTTAATCTTCGAAATTTATAAAACAGTAGTGGATGCTAATTAGAATAAAAAGAGTTCAAAGTTCAAATGTCTCAGGGTCATATGTGTACTTTAAAAAACCTTAACAGCTTTGTGGCAACATTTACGTCTTTAGTCTTTTTTTTTTGCTTTTTGTATTCCACTTTGTACTTGATCTTTTATTTATAATATTTTTTTTAGTTTGTTGATTCTTTTTGACAAGATTCATGGCGTGATCTCTTATATACAAGTATGTAGTTGTTTACAAATAACCAGGCAGTATGAATATTTTTGTTTATCGTACCATTCCAACTTTTACTGTGGGAATTATATTTGTCAGTTCACTTCAGTGCCGAAAGTCGTTTCACTGGTAACCGTGTCTTCAAACGTGAGTGCATGCTAGTTACATGTAAAGTGGTGGCCTGGTATCCAGTAGAAAAGTTTGTTTCCATTTGCAGAAGTTGCCGTGGTAAAAAATTGGTCCAATTTTTTGAAATATTCAAGCATTCCTTTTTTGTTTGTGATTGAGTTCAATTCATTTTTGACTTGATTTCATTCCTTTTTTAAATTTTTTTTTTGAAATTTCTGTTTACTGTCACGTCTGTTTCTCAGATCATAATTATGGGATTTTTTTCCTCATTTTTATGCAGCTTTCCAAAATTATTTTAAAAAAAACAACCTCATTCTCAGAGCGCCAACCTTGATGGGTGCTGTTCCATATCAAACGTCTTGACACTTTAAGAATGAGGTTGCAGAAAAACAAAAACAAAAAAAAACAACCTCAACTAAGTGTATATGCCTTTGTATGAACCTTGAGTGGAATTTAAAGTTGCAAGAACGTTCGCTATTTTATAGGATATGAATACAGTGATTCATATTGAGTGAATCCAGCTATTTCTGCTGTAAAAAAAATGCCTAGTTGGTATTATTGTACGTGTACATTTAAGGTTTCTTCAGGGACCAAATGCGATAACGGTTTGTTTTGGGGAAATTGTTTTTGTTTTCATTGTAACTTGAGAAAATATAGTATACCAGTGTGCCTATAGAACGTTGTTTAGATAGACGTCGGTTTTTTAGTCGTGCATTATCTTGTACTCCGTGAGTAAATCTTTAACTTTTGCTACTGTTTAACAATTCCACTAAGACAATCTGTTTTACTAGAAATTCATCCTGTTTTGGGCTGTTTTTTTTTTTTTTTATATATATTCAAACCTGCCCAAGTTTCGTATTTTTTGTGACTAACATTTTTGTTTTGTTTTGTAATCTCAAAACGAATTCTGAAATTTTTTTTTCCATATGGATTTTTGTGTGCAAATCATTACAGGATTTCATTTGCATTTATTTTTTTTTCTGACAAAACAAATTCCACTGCTTCGTTGTTTTTGCTTACATTTACTTTTGTGTCTCTTGGCCACATTGCACTCTAATGTTCATTTAAAATGTTTAAAAAAAATACATAATTTTTATCATTCTCACTAATGAGCCAATCACAATGTCCAGATACTGTCAGGTGACGAAATTCCAGCCAATCACCTTAAAGGGAATTTTCTTTCCATGGGTGTTTTTTTGATACATTTTTTTTCTAATCAATCAATGACAAAATCACTTTCAATAGCCAGTGAGGGTGCAACTAAAATACTACAACCATTAATTTGGACGCTCTTCATTTGAACAATTAATTCCTATAAGCTGCACAAAGTTCACTTGTCGGAGACAAAAAAAAAGGGATTTTGTGAAGTCTTTTATAATTCCAGAAAAAAAAATTGAAGCAGCACAAAATTAAAAAGGCATTTGACACAAAGCCAAAAATGAAGATAGCCAGTCACATTAACAGTTTTACCTTGATGGTTGAATTTTGTTTGCTGTTACTTAAACACTCCCTAAACACGTTCTACATGTGAATCGGCATGCATGCACGAACGCGACTAAAAAGCAGAGAGTAGATTTTCCCCTGATAAAATGTTACTCCCATTTGCAGTAAAAAAAAAAAAAAAGTCCCAAAAAATTTGATTCTCTTATTTTTTGAGTGAAAATTTGGAGTTCCTTTTTGCAAAAACAACCTTACTTTTCGGATTCACTCCAACTATGGACTCCGTTCGCATGTATCCCCTCAAACAGTTAAAAAGGAAAAAGTTGGGAGAGACCATTGGAGCAGATGTTGGAACGTATTTTGTGTACTTTCGGCGCCTGATGCTGACACGAAGATAGACACAAGTGGTTTGAGCCCACTCGGAATTGAAATCAGTCTTTTAGCTGTGTGTACTTGCGCCACACCCTCGCAAGCCAGTACGTGAACCCAGCGTGTTCTCTCACTGGAGCTTTCCAAAGTGTTAAAAAGAGCGCTTTTTACTTTTGTTCATACACAGAGTACATAACCTGTGTGCTGATTCACATGTAGTAAACTGTTAAAGCAAAGGGCAAAACCGTTTAACCATTAGGTAACCATTGGTAATGTGACGGTAATTGACGGTAACTTTGACGGTAACTTGCGTCCAACACAAGAAGAGTCTTTTTAGAAGGCGGGACCAGTCGACCACCTCTAAATTTGAAAGCAATAGGTGCTAGTATAATGCACCTCACCTTCTTCCAACTAATTTTTTCCTTTTTTATTTTACTGCCACTGCTTAAAAAAAAAAAAATAGATGATTTTTGATACCACTTCCATTTATTAGTGTGCCAGTATGTGTGTGTGCATTTATTTATAATAATAATAGTATTATCATTCTTAGTATTCGAATTTGCTTAGCTGAATTAATAACCATTCATATGCCGGTATATTATGTATATTTTTTTTGTTTAGCCTTTTAATTTTTTTTGTTTTGTGTGTGCCAAAGCAATGCATTCAATACTTTTGAGCTTTTGACCAATAAATTCCTTTTTTTTTTAAATATACTTTTTTTTTTCCTCCTTGTGTTGCGGAAACATTCACTTATTGCTGAAACATTCATTTAATTATCGCTGGAACATTCATTTATGGCATTTATTGAAGAAAAAAAAATAGCTTGATTTTTCACAAAATTCCCAATTCATGACAAAGGACGAGGGAAAAAAATTCCTTTAATCTATTCACAAATTTCAATTCCTCTTGGTTTTTTTATTGGTTCTCCAAACACTGAGTTTTGCCACGTTCCTGCTATATTTGCATTTAAATGGCTGCCTTTTTGGGGGGTTAGTATTACCAACGAAAATTTTACCATTTCGGTTTTGCCCCATTATATTGAATTCTTCCTATAACTATGCAGCTTTTTGCATTCATAATGTTCTGGGAACCTTTCATTTTTTTATCAAAATTGCTCCATCAAATTTTAAGAGTTTTTTAAGGGAAAAAGAGAAGATTACTGTTTTCACTAGGCATACAAAAGCTTTATTGCCAAATACGTTAACGTTTTGTTCAGCTTCTGAATTTGCTCGTCTGTTGCTATGGCGATGTGTCATCTTCTGCTTGGGGATTTTTTTTTTGCCCATTAGCCGCCCGGATATGTATGTTTTCCAGCATCTCTGCATGCCATCTTGGTATCGTTTTGATGTGTTGGTCAGACTCTCCAAGAGGTCTAGCATATATTCTCATCATAATCACCCTCAAAAAAAAGAAAAAAAATGTGTGCATGTTACTGCGCATATATCTCCTTCATGCTTTGGCGATATCTCATTAATCAAGCATAGAAACACATGTACAGACTTTTTTTTGGGTGTATAATTTTCTCATCCAATATTGCATCCAAAATGTTTGTGGAGTTGACTAAGGAAACGTAACAGCGTTTTGTTTTGTGTGGTGATCATGTTAACGTTAGTTTGATCGGCCTTCGTTTTGCTTTAGTATTACGGTTCGTATAGGGGACTTCGACTCAAAATGTCTTCGATGTTGGAATGGAAGTAACTTATGCTCCACTTGTCCTATGCACTTGTGTCACACAGAGCAATTATCATTAAGTGGCTTTTTCAAGTTTTTTTTGTTTATCTTGTCGCTACCTCATTATCCGTATTTGTAAAATAAAATATTGGGAACAGCACTGCGTAACAAGAAGATTTGTCACGGTTGGTTTTCATTTTCTGTTGATTAAATTTTTTTTTTTTTTTAGCGTATTTACACTTTTGAATTGATGTCTGATGCAGTGTATCTCTGCCTTCATATGTAGGGGATTTGTAATATTTATGCATGATATTATCGGGGAAAATTGACAAGCTGTGTAGATCATTAAAACATATTCTGTTTAGAAGCTAGATATGTTGTTTCCTCCAAATCTGGTTGCACTGTATTTAAATGAATACGGGAGAGCACAAATGAACACGCTTAAATCGTAACTGCCTGTATCGCATTTCGTATATCCGACGCTAATTTGTGCATGACCTAGGCCATTTAGTATAGTTACATTTGAACAAAACTGGCATTGCATATACTAGCATATGTATCATTGAAAAAAAAGTAGGGTTTTTGTGGGGGGAAAAAATCCTACATGTTTTTTTTTATTATGGTGGTCATGCAGTGGTCACCATAGTAACTAATCAAGATGTAATTTCGTAATTAATATCAAAGGAACTATTCAGATTTATGTATAAATGTACCTCATAATTATAAGCCAGAATTCTTTTTTTGTTTTGTTTGAAATAATCACACAAAATGCGCAAAGAACTTGTATAACTCTCGTATATTATATTTGTACAGATTGAGATTTGGTGCATGCAACTCTAGTCGGGTGACGGGCCAGTAGATCAGTTTTGGCATAATTGTTGGATTGCGGGTACTATACCTCGCAGTTTGGTGTTAATTCTTGGAAGTTGTGTGGTTTAGCTACAGACCGTAGTACTTTGTCATCTGGTTTTTTGTGTTGATCATTTTCCTTCTTTTCTGGTAATTGTGAAATGGATTTGTTTTTGAAGGGACAATTGAAGGGAAATTTGGATCAGGCCATATTGTTGAGGTTGTGGGGAATATTTCAACCCCTGTATCACTAAAAACATGACTGTACAATTTGTTCTTAGGGGTTAAATACTCAGACACGTGCATTTGGTTGCACGTTGCGACGTTTTAGTTAATCAGTACCTGTTGTAGTACGAACCAATGCAGTATAACCATCATGGTTGTCTCTTGTTTTGTCTCTTTGTTCTTCATTGGTGTTGTAACACTGTTGCTACATTCTCTGCCATTCAGACATGACCAAACCGCGTGGGAAAAAGTTGTCGATCAAATGTTAATACGATTTCTTCATCTGTGGTGCCCTTAAAGTAACTCGTATGTTTCCATGTATCATCTAAGCTGCTTATCAGTTCAAATGCAAAGTTACGAGCTTGTCTTGAACTCGGAAATATTTAGAACATGGGAAAAATTAGTTTTTATACGATATTCAACCTCTTATTTTTGTTATCTTGGCAAAAATAGTTGTTCCGTGGATGGTTGTTTGGAATTAACTGTCATTACAAAAATAGCAATACTACTACAAGTTGTAAAAACTACTACGAGTTGTACAATGAACATGTGGACTTTCCAACTTTTTGTCCGGAATATTCAGAAGATTTCTTTCAAGGCACTCACTGCAGCCATCTTGGTATGGTTCTCCAAGTTCAAAGTACCAGTTGCCATGAGTTTAATGTCAGTCATTAGCACCAGTCTGGAAAACGACTTGTGGTGCTTGGATGCCAATCAATTTTTTTCTCCTTCAAAAAAAGAGTAAAACTTCTTCAGTGCATCAGCAACCGGGGTTCATTGCAAACAAACAAAAGTCCTTTTGAGGAAAAAAAAAAAACAACCTGTGAAATTAGTAATAAAAAAACATAGTAGTAATATATAACCATATATGATATATATATAAAGAAACTTAGCACGCAGTACTGTGTATTAATAAGGAATGGAAAAACAAACAAAGAAACTATGGGGCACGTTTGTAAATTCTGCCCCTAGCTTGCACGCGTTACCGGTTCAGTATTTGTATTTCACTAGTTATTGAATCAAATAATTGAATTTGAAATTAAAAAAAATTAAAAGGGACTTTTTTTGGCCACTGGTCACAGTTGGTGGATTTTGTCAGTGGAGTTGGTCAGTTGATGCCTTTGTAACAATCAAGCTTTCTTGTTGATTTTCTGGTTTGTATAAAGTTCACTCTGTCTTCTCGAATCAGATGATTCCATTGGATTGTGTTGAACCTTTTGATAAATGACGTTTTTTTGGTTGCCGTTGTGATTTGTCGGTGGCAAGATTAATTACCTACAAATGGCACAAGTTGTTGTCTTGTGCTGTACTTTCATTGTTAATTTATGTCAAATTGTTTCTGGTAAATCGCAAACTTGATAATGTTCTTGTGCATTTTTTCATCACTTAACCCATCACACATTAGGATTCTATAGTTTAAAAAAAAATATGTATATGTTCTGTGTGTATTGGAAAGGGCCTGTCTACTAGATTAGGAAGAAATACTAAGGAATTGTATCACAAACAAATGTATGTTTTTGAGTGTTAAATGCTACTAAAAAAAAAAATATCCAGAGTGCTATATACATTTATACAGAGGATGCCATTGCAGAATAGAGAGTTGTTTAGCTAATACAAAACATATATGTAATCACATTTCATAGGAAAAAGGGAAGTTTTGTATATGCCTCACATTTATCGTGCGGATTTTGCTAAAGATCTGGCCAATCAGAGCCGTGTATTTGTAACCCTATATCCACTTATTTGCATAATTTGCATATTTGTAGCGGCCTGTATTCAGGGTGGTGTTGCATTATTATTATTTTTCTTGACTTATTTTCTGCCGGTAATCTGTAACCAAGCAATGAGTATAGAAATATAACAAGCATCTGAATTGGCCGTTATACCCTAGGCTTATTTCCTGTATCATTGCTGTTTTTCTTCCCATTTTCAGTACAGTAGACATGTATTAATTTTAAAACTCCAATGGACCAACCGGTATAGCAGCCCCCAAAAAATAGATTATTATAAACTATATTAACGTTGCAAAAGTTTAAAATCCTCTGCTGGAATACAAAATATGTAAAATAGTTTGCTACAAAAACTGGAGACAATCTTTTTGCCTTTTCACATAAACCAATTTTAAAAAAGGAATGTTACATTTTGGCTTTATATAGCAGAAGGTTTAAAACACAAAGACCAATATGGGATGCGATCACTTTCAATCACGATGGCCCTCTTTAATGGTGAATGCATTGTCCTAGCTCTATTGTTCAGATAATTCGTCCTGGAACAGTTGCTCTGAACAATAGCCACCACAAAACTTGCGCCATTAAAGGGGGGCGTCGTGAGTGTATACATTGATCACATGCACAGATTTGTCTGCATGCTTGTATGTAAAATGAAAGTTTGTAGGATCCAACAATTTTGTCTCCAACTCCAACCTCGTTGTTACAGATATCTATTCTTACAAGAAACAAAGAAGGGATATGGTTGAGTTCTCAAGGGGGAAAATATCAAATTGTGGGGTTCATCAACTGTCTCATGTCTGAAAGGCACGCACACTGTAATGTTCAGGTAAAACAATTTAACTTTGGAGTTTGTGTGTACCAAGGCCTGTGGCATTTGAATTAAATTTGGCAGGACATTTCAAATCGCATTGTTTCAATGCTCATCAGTTTACGAGACATTGGACAGCATTGTCGGAACGTAGTGGTATTTTTTTTTTAATAACCAGACTTGATTGATAACGTGACTGTACGCTCAGACTAGTTTGTTAGATTGCATATATCAGAAGACTTTCTCACGTTTGTTTGGTCCAGAAATTGGTGAATGCCGTTTTCAAAGACAAAATTTTTGAAGGGAGTTTCCGAGTTTTGACATTTAACGCTTATTAACGGAGGACGGAATTTAGCAGTTATATATCGAAAAATATTTAAGCTCTGGTAGCTTTTAGTAATTTTTTTATTATTATTATTTTTTTTGTTGGTCGAGTTTATTCAATGTGTGAGTGGGTGGTATTTGTTGTTTGACTGATTAATAATTATATAATGCACCATTATTATGATAGTGTGTAGTCTGAGCGAAGAGCGCCCTCTCTTGTTTCGGAGAGCGAGCAGGGGGAGAACGGTTTCGTAGGGCGGTTTTGCAATACACCACAGCTGCATTGTGTTATATTGGAGACAATAAATGCGCGAGTGTAAAAAACATTATATCAGTTGTTTGACATTTGTTTGAATTTTTGTTTCCTGAAGTCTGTCGTTAAATCCATTTTATTTTATACAAATTTTTAAAATAGCAAAGTATATTATGATTACATGATGCATTGTTGAATATAGTTGCAAACTTTCGAAGACTTAAATTCCATTTCATTTGTAGGACAAGAATTGCACATAGTACAATTCACCCAAAAAAAAACCCCAGAAAATACAGGCCTTATCAACAAATGAGGTCCAGCCAAAGGCCCCCCCCCCTCGCTTTTCGAATTTGCAATGGCCTGCATCGACCGGCGGTACTTTGCCCCTCCCCTTTAAAAAGTGTTCTGCCGCCGCTGATTAACTAATATTTGACACGATCCCAACGTGCTGCACAACTGTGTTATGTACCACGCATTTTTGAGTAAATCTCTTTGCCATACAACTAAAACTACTTTTGAACCTGATATAGATAAGCCCTTATGCAAATATGGTTGGAGTGTCATGGCCTAGCGGTTAAGAACACCGGACTCAATTGCTCTGGTGTTTCAGAGGAAACAGTGGCGTGGGTTCGAGCCCGCCGGTTGGACACTTGCGCCCTTGAGCAAGGCACTTAACCATTATTGCTTCGTCCTTCGGATGGGACGTAAAGCCGTAGGTCCCGTGTGTTGTGTAATCCAATGCACGTAAAAGAACCCAGTGACACTTATCACTAAGAGAAGGGGTTTGCCTGGTGTTTCTGGTCTTCTGTATAAACTCCCACACGGAGTACTTAGGAGATGAACCAACCAAGAACCAAGAACCAAAAATATGTATAGACCTTATGCATTAGAGGGCAGAGTTAGGGGGCAATGGTTTTGTATTGCATATGTGTATTAATTGTTACTAGATTACAATAACAAAGAACAGCCTCTGAGACACCCGCAAGTCATAATGTTTAAGGTCTAGTAGTACAGCAAGCAGTCAGCTGAGGATGTTTACATAGACTCGTATTTAATCGTCCTTATATTCCGCAATGTCCCCTGACAGGTCGTAAGAAACTGAAGTTTGTGGCTGAATCTCAAATGGACGTTCATCAACTATGCATTCACCGCATATGACCATGGTTCACTGCCTACAATAGCTCCATGCTACAACACACAGCTGCAACAGCAAGAACATGTGGGCTGTCAGTTCAGGGAGCTTGATGTGGTTGCCCTTAAAAGGTAAGAGATCATGTGATCTTTTTAGAAATTTGCTTCATCGTCTGGTCTGGCATCTTATTCCCGCACCCCCCCCCTCCCCTCCCCCAGGATGATCATAACAGTCTATCCACCATTCAATGGATAAAAAAAACCAAATATTTGAAGGGCGCAAGAAAGACAGTGGTGCAACAGTTATAATAGTGGGTACTTATTAAGTGCACATATCTCTACCAGGACTGGTGCTCAAGGCGCTACATCATTATCAGTTCATCACCCCTGCTCATTGGGCCCATGAAACATTCCAAATACCATCTTAGCTCCCTGGGGAGTATACAGCTGGATGCAGCCTGTGAGGCAAAAGGAAGCAAATTCAACCACAATAACCATCTCTGCCCCCACAGTTACCCATTGACTCCTGGGTGGAGAGAAGCAATGAGTGACAAAGTGCCTTGCCCAAGCTAGGACACACACCATGACCCCTGGCTGGACTCGAACCCACAACCTGCAGCTTTACCCGCAGACCACGAATCCAATTCCCTTAACCAGGAGGCCACAGCACTCCATAGTTTTAGGAGTGCTGACCGACTGGCCATTGCAAATTTCATAAGCTGAGGAGGAGGGGGGAGGGGGTGTCAGCTGGACCTTATTTGACGCCACAGAGGGGGCGCCCCATTTACCTTTTTTTCTTTTTCTTTTTTAATTATTTATTAACTTTAAACAAAATCTTTGAGAGAAAGCAGATGAGGACACTTACTGCATCAAAAATCACCCTTTTTGGGGTGGGGGGGATGGTTACCATTACATTAAAGCCCTTTTCAGGGGTTTGCAGATGCCAAAATTAGGGAAAAGTAGTGTGTTTTTTTCGTCAGAACAAAACATACAAATTGAAAATGTGTTGGGTGAAAAAAATTCTACATTTTAAAGAGCACTGGGCAAATATCCTGAAACAAGGTTACCTTTTAAAATAACCAGAGATAAAGCATTCTTGAGGAGCTCAGTACCAGTGTCTGCTCATGCCCTGCATGTCTTTGATGTCTTCTTCTTTCATTGCCTTTTCTATATCTTAGCTGAGATCGCTGAAGCTGTCGAGGCAGGGATGAAGTCAAGGAAGACACAAGTCCAGTCACAAGTAACAGTGGATGAACAATAACAAAGGAATGCCTTTGTCAAATCTCATTGGAAAAGCTTGTGATGAGTTACATTGGGACTGGGGGGCTTGTGGTGGGACTGGCAGGGACTTGTGATTGACTGGACTACATTCCTCAGCTTAGGAGGTGATAAGATGTAGTCATTGTGCCACTCAAATGTCTTGAAACTGACCAGAGAGATACCCAAGAACTTTATGAGAAGGAATGCAGGAGAGTGAGATAGAAGGACTAGCTATATTCAGATCAGGATGATGTATGAACTACGTAGAACCATCAGGTAGGAAGAAAAGTTCAATGTTTATTAGAGCTGGCATCTTGAAACTTGGAATGTTTGGAGCCTTCAAGGGTGTTATAAAATCAATCATAACACCCAGTCATATTTGCTTAGGTTGATAAATAAAAATAAAGAAACTGTTTGACACTGATGGTTTAAGCCACATATCTGCAAAGGCAAGCAGGCCTTGCGTTCACCGCATTGATCAGATGTACAGCAACCTTCCATTCTGAATCCCCACCCTCTCTCCCTCTTTTTGTTTTGTTGTTTGTTTTGTTTGCAGGTTTTTTTGTCAGGGTGGGTGTTCAACCCCAACACCCCCTTCTTGCAACCCTAGTTATCCTGACTTGCCTCCCTCCCCCACCCCCAATTTCGTTTATTTGTTTGATGGATTTGTTTGTTTGTTTGTTTGTTTTAACTTTTTTTAGGGATTTTTTTTTTTTTTTAAACCCCAGCACCCCCTTCTTGCAACCCTGGTTATCCTGACTTGCCTCCCTCCCCCCTCTCTAATTTTGTCTATTTGTTTGATGGGTTTGTTTGTTGGGTTGGTTTTTTTTTTTTTTTTTTTCAGGGATTTGGGTGGGGGGGGGGGGTAAGCCCCAGCACCCCCTTCTTGTAACCCTTTGTTTATTTGTTTGATTTTCCACACTTAAAAATTTCATCCAGATCAAATAATGCAGTTTACTGATGATAGTCTGTGCACTAACAAGATACAAATGTACAGAGCCAAAATTCATTGCCAAACTGAAATTTGGAGAAATAATCACAGCTTTTGTAACTAGCACAGTTACCATGAAATATGGGGACATCTTGTTTTGAAGGGAAGTGTTTTTCTTTCTTTCCCCATTTCAGATCGAGGATGAGGAAACTTGGAGAGGAGCCAACTTGAGCTTGAAGACTGATGACGATTTGTGGAGAACAAAACTGGACTTCCCTCAATGGGGCTGAAGGTTTTCCAATAGTCAAGTCATGAGTAACGAAGGAGGAACAACGTTTGTTTAAGTTTAACTTGAGACTAGATGACTTGTGATGACTTGTGATGACTTGTGATGACTTGTGATGTCTCATGATGGCTTGTGGTGACTAGCTGATGAACTCTATTACAGCTACAATGACACCACCATAGACAGGCCTGTGACTCACAAGAACAAAAAAAAACCTCTTTTACAATTGTAAAATGTTACGCATAGTCTTGTTTTTCAAGTTGAATGTGTCATTTGAGCCTGAATTTTTTGGGCCATGAGAGGTCACTTGAATGCAAACTTGCAATTCACACATTCATTATTGAAACAATTGCCAATGAAACATCGGCTGTATCAATCAAATGTCATTACTAATGCTCACGTGATCAAACTCAAAATCTTGGGTTTTTTTTTCTTTCTAAAACTGATTTTTGGTTTGCGTGCTGGGGGTTTTATTGCCTGTAATAGAACTTCAAGTTGATGTTTCATTTCGTCCAGTTAGTTAGTGTTGTAGTCAAGACTTTTTCTGTGCCCTCACGCAATTTGCTTAAATAACGGAATACCAGATTTGTGTCAATTCTAACGTGAATAAGCTTCTTGTCTGCTGGACTTTGAACATAATTGATTCGTTTTGATGTTACTGTAGAGTTTAAGGAAGTTTATCTCAAAAATGTCTCGGACAGGATTTCGGTTGTAAATCATCAAATAAGGTTAATCTATAGCATAGTTATTTGACTTACTTGTTTTGTTTCCAAAACTTCAAATAATTGATAAAATGAGTGAGGTCTCAAAAGGTCCCAGAAAGGTCTGGACTACAACACTGCCAGTTGTAGTGGTTCCTGCTAGGGTAGAAATGGTTGTCTGGTTTGAATATGAATGCCTACTTTTGGTAGCATTGAGCTGTATACTCCCAAAAGAGCCAAGATATGATATGCTTTAGCTGATGGAAATGAGCAGGATACATTTTAGACTCGAAAGTTCACACGTTTGGATGTTCACACGTTTGGTTGCACTTTAATAACAACTGTTTAAACTGTTTTTAGGACCCAAAATGTGTGGATAACTCTCTATCCATCTGAGAACTTTTTATGATTTGGGGTCAACTTTTTTTCCTTTCCCTGTTACATCTGCTGACATGTACGATTTTGTAAATTCTGGACGTACTACATTTTCCCTTAAGAGTGATTATGTTAAAAAAAAACTAAACAATACCTCAATGGCAAATTTAAAACTTGGGCCTAACAGGGTCTAATTGACTCTCAATTCATACGGAATGATCCATGTGTAAATGAATTATTGTACCCACTGAGGCATTATTAATTCTCAGAACAGTGGTTCTTAAATACATGTTTATATACAATCTTTTGTATTTATGCCACCACATGTAGTGTTGAAGTCAGTCCTTTCCAGAGCCTAGAAATGAAGTGAAATGTTGGGTGGCATGCAGGTTGAGTAAAAAAAAGATACCCAAATACCAGGACCATTTTTCCAAGGAAGTGTTGCATGTAGCACTTTCAAAATATAGGAAAAGTTCAATTGATTTCTTTTAGTACAAGAATCATTCAAATGATCACTCATGTACTTTTCAAGTTACAGGATTTTAAACACAAACACCTTTAAAGTTCTTAATTAAACGGACCACAAAAAAGGTAAGTGTTCTATCAGCAAAATGAAAACAATTGACACAGGGATGTACATGGACCGTGTTCGTTTTTCAATCCGTGGACAGAACTTTAAAATAGTGGTTGTGTTTACAACCCTGTAACTTAAAAATGAGTGATTTCAATGATTTTTTGGTTTTTTAAACACATCCTGTATAGTAAGATTTAACTGTTTATATTATTTACAATGTAAAAGTATTTGCAAGTGAACTACGAGTGGAGTTTTGAGTCTTATTTTCAAAATGAATATTTCTTATATTCTGATTTAAGCATCATTACTGTCAATTAACGACTTACGACTTAGTGTATAAGCTTAATTAACCTTGCCTCACTTAATTGTGCATTTCTTTAATAATGTCTCATTAATGTTTTTAATTTCCTGAAGTCTTTTGCCTTTGAGCCGTCACTTGAAACAATAAATAACTGAAAATAAATAACTGTGTATTTGTGTTATAATTGATTTTATTTGTCATATTTGTCAAAGATTAAACAACAATTGAAATTAGGATGATAATAAGTGATATAGAGTGCAATAAATAGTGATAATGGGAAAACAATTTGGGGATACAGATGTATTTCACTTGACTCAAATTGGGTTTCGGACTTTGTTTTTTATAGGAATACAAGGGGAAATACCAATATAGCTGCAAATATGGATATAAAAGGAAATTAGTCCGATATGGGTTCAATTATTGCTGCAAATAGGAATATAAAGGACAATTCTAATATGGGTTAAAAAGATTCCAATATGGGTAGGAATCCCAATATTGCTGAAAATAGGAATATCAAGAGATTCTAATATGGGTTCAAATTCCAATATGGGTATGGATCCCTGTATTCCTGCAAATAGGAATATAAAGGGAAATTCCAATATGGGATCAAAATTCCAATATGGGTAGGTATGCCAATATTGCTGCAAACTGGAATATAAAGGAAAATTCCAATATGGGCTCAAATTCCAATATGGGTTCGGATACCAATATTGCTGCAAACTGGAATATAAAGGGAAATTCCAATATGGGCTCACATTCCAATATGGGTTCAAATTCCAATATGGGTAGGTATGCCAATATTGCTGCAAATTGTAATATAAAGGGAAATTCCAATATGGGTTCAAATTCCAATACGGGTAGGTATGCCAATATTGCTGCAAATTGGAATATAAAGAGAAATTCCAATATGGGCTTAAATTTTCCAATATGGGTTCGGTATGCCAATATTGCTGCAAACTGGAATATAAAGGGAAATTCCAATATGGGTTCACATTCCATATGGGTAGGTATGCCAATATTGCTGCAAATTGTAATATAAAGGGAAATTCCAATATGGGCTCACATTCCAATATGGGTTCGGTATGCCAATATTGCTGCAAACTGGAATATAAAGGGAAATTCCAATATGGGTTCACATTCCAATATGGGTAGGCATGGCAATATTGCTGCAAATTGGAATATAAAGGGAAATTCCAATATGGGCTCAAATTCCAATATGGGTTCGGAATGCCAATATTGCTGCAAACTGGAATATAAAGGGCAATTCCAAATGGGTTCACATTCCAATATGGGTAGGCATGGCAATATTGCTGCAAATTGGAATATAAAGGGAAATTCCAATATGGGCTCAAATTCCAATATGGGTAGGTATGCCAATATTGCTGCAAATTGTAATATAAAGGGAAATTCCAATATGGGCTCACATTCCAATATGGGTTCGGTATGCCAATATTGCTGCAAACTGGAATATAAAGGGAAATTCCAATATGGGTTCAAATTCCAATACGGGTAGGTATGCCAATATTGCTGCAAATTGGAATATAAAGAGAAATTCCAATATGGGCTCAAATTCCAATATGGGTTCGGTATGCCAATATTGCTGCAAACTGGAATATAAAGGGAAATTCCAATATGGGTTCAAATTCCAATACGGGTAGGTATGCCAATATTGCTGCAAATTGGAATATAAAGAGAAATTCCAATATGGGCTCACATTCCAATATGGGTAGGCATGGCAATATTGCTGCAAATTGGAATATAAAGGGAAATTCCAATATGGGCTCAAATTCCAATATGGGTTCGGAATGCCAATATTGCTGCAAACTGGAATATAAAGGGAAATTCCAAATGGGTTCACATTCCAATATGGGTAGGTATGCCAATATTGCTGCAAATTGGAATATAAAGAGAAATTCCAATATGGGCTCAAATTCCAATATGGGTTCGGTATGCCAATATTGCTGCAAACTGGAATATAAAGGGAAATTCCAATATGGGTTCACATTCCAATATGGGTAGGTATGCCAATATTGCTGCAAATTGTAATATAAAGGGAAATTCCAATATGGGCTCACATTCCAATATGGGTTCGGAATGCCAATATTGCTTCAAACTGGAATATAAAGGGAATTCCAATATGGGTTCACATTCCAATATGGGTAGGCATGGCAATATTGCTGCAAATTGGAATATAAAGGGAAATTCCAATATGGGCTCAAATTCCAATATGGGTTCGGAATGCCAATATTGCTGCAAACTGGAATATAAAGGGAAATTCCAAATGGGTTCACATTCCAATATGGGTAGGCATGGCAATATTGCTGCAAATTGGAATATAAAGAGAAATTCCAATATGGGCTCAAATTCCAATATGGGTTCGGTATGCCAATATTGCTGCAAACTGGAATATAAAGGGAAATTCCAATATGGGCTCACGTTCCAATATGGGTTTGGGATGCCAATATTGCTGCAAATTGGAATATAAAGGGAAATTCCAATATGGGTTCAAATTCCAATTTGGGTTCAGTATGCCAATATTGCTGCAAATTGGAATATAAAGCGAAATTCTAATATGGGCTCACATTCCAATATGGGTTTGGGATGCCAATATTGCTGCAAATTGGAATATAAAGGGAAATTCTAATATGGGTTCAAATTCCAATTTGGGTAGGTATGCCAATATTGCTGCAAATTGGAATAAAAATATATATAATTATATGCAGCCTTAATTAACCTTTTTTAACCATAACACGTGTAAGAAGTTTGTGTATGTTCTACTTGCGCTTTGCATTTAGAGTACACTTTCAAAATTCAATCCACACGCAAATTGTTCTTCAAATCCCTGCCAAATTGGTTTAATCTCTGCCATATTTGACAAAAAGCTAACTTTTATTTCTGATATCATAGCTAAAGACACAATTTCTAACATTCTTAACACAACTTAGACGCTCTTATGAAAGTACTTTCTTTGTTTGTTAACTAAAAATTAGTTGCAATAACTTGTGGCAAGATGACTAGGAAAATTATTTTGATATACAGGGAGGCTAAAAGAAATTGATTGCCATGTACTGTAAGCCTAGCAACGAGGCCAGAAAAGCACACTTTACTGCAACTGGTCAATGCGCAGTTCTTCCTTTTTCATTTTGGAAATCAAAGTATGAGTACCGGAAACAGGCAAGGCTTTGCCTAACGACAAGAGGTATCAAAAGACTGTTTCTTGATATTCTAGACAACTGCAAGGAGACGAAGGAAATCTGTCTCAATACGAGAGCTCTTTTTTAAGCACAATATTTCACATTATGAGAGCTTTTTTTCAAGCATCATGTTTCATATTTTGAGGGCATACTTGAGCACAGAGTACAAAGTCGTCGTTTTTTATTTGGTTTTCGTTCTCGATCACACCATGTCTAAAATTACCTGTGCAGTGCCTACATGTTTCTGCAACTGAAGTAAAAAGACCATGCCTCAAACCACAAAAAGAAACACTGTTATTCTAAAACACTTTTAAATGTAACGTAAACCCAAGTGAATACGTTTGCAGTTTATAAATTTTTAAATTATAGCTGTACAACTCCCTCACGTAGTAACAATGCTCTGCAGACGTACAACTGGAAAGTAATTAACACACACAAAAAGGAGAAAATTCCAACTTTACAAGACTTTATAGAACTTTTTCAATTTCGAATGACATAAGTGTGAAGCAAAATATGAGAAATTCAGCTAAATTGAGGAAAAGCCTGACTACTGTGGGCTTGTTTGGGTATATTTTAATCCTAATTGATCCTAATTGGTGCAATTTGGCAGCTATTGCATTTTGTATTGTGTCGGGGTTTTTTTTATCATGAAATATCTCTTATCTTGCATTGAAAACTAACTTTTGCCATGAAAATAAAACAAATCCACTCAGCCTATCAGTGCAAAGGATGATAGTGAAGGTATGGCATTATGTAACAAGAAAACGGGTTCGGACCCATATTAGGTTTTGGTCCCATATTCGTATTTGGACACACATTGGGATTCAGACCGAGTTCGGACCCATATTTGAGTTCGGACCCCATATTGGGGTTCGAACCCATATTGGTATTTGGACCCATATTGGAAATTTCAAGCTTTACAATACTTATACAGCGTATTTTTTTTTCAATTTTAAATGGCATTAAAGTGTTAAGTGAAAAATGAGGAAATCAGCTGATCTGAGGAAAAGTTGCAAGTCTGGCTATGTTTGGGTTTATTTTAATTCTTGGTGGAATAGGGCAACTACAGTATAGAGTACCGAAGTGTGACGTCATTTAGAACCAGAAACTACAGAAAGTGTAGTGCAAACGAATGGAGTACGCGCGTGTGTTGGTTCACGGATTGAATCACGCGCTTAATGTCTATTACACACACATTGTGTGCGTGATGTATTCACTTCGGTACTCTATTGACTTTTGTCTTGGCATTGAAAACTAATCTCTGTCGTGTAAAATAAAGCGAATATAATCAGCCTATCAATGCAAAAATAATGATTGGGAAGGTATTATGTACACAAAATATTACAAATATCATAAATATGTGACAAGGATGAAAAATCTATCTACGTCCAAAAAAAAAAAATTGATGAGACCTCATAATTGTAAACAAATATCAAACTGATGCTTCAAAATATATTAAAGATTTTTTTTTTCTTAATTTACGAGTTTTTCTCCAGGCACATCTCGTGTTTTATTGTTAAGTTCGCATCACCTTCCCTCCCAGAGGGCGCCATCCTCAGTGGCGACTCAAAGGCCAAACCAGTCATGTGACACGTACCCGAAGCGCTCTCGCAGAAACAGACGGCAACTTCGATGCGCAGGGTGGCATCTTTCTCGATTGCGCTAGGGGGCGCCGTCCATCGGTGCAATAGTGGCGTGTCTAAGCTGGATATTGGCCTCTTGCCAAACACCAGGTGGGCTGTGTCTGTAATTGGGAAAAATATTATAATTGAAATGAGGGAATTGTAACAAAGTTCTTTAGTCGGTACTGTAGTGGAGTCCATTACATACTTTGGTTTGGTTTTCCGATTTTATTTCGAAGTGCGCATCAAACGCTTTCAAAATGCACCCAAAAATGAGAAATAAAAATGTCAGACAAACACGTAGTTTGATATGTGAGTGGAGATAACAATGGTTTATCAGAATTTGTCAACTGTAAAGAAATCTTTAAATGTTCACTCGGAAATACGTGAGATTTGTTCAAGTGCCCCATGTTAGGGAACACTCGGCTGATTTTGTGCCCAATTTCCAGACGCCACCATTTTGAATTTCAAACTAACAATTTTATGACACTGAAATAGCTTACAAACAAGAGTTCAACAGCAAGCATTACTAAGGCCCCCCCCCCCAAAAAGTCTCCGGTTTCTGGTATGCGCGGGCGTCGCTGTAGCCATGCGCGTTGGCAAAATAAAAAAGGTTTTTTTCAATGAATGATGATGTCTCAAAACCGCCAAACTCACTGGTTTGACTGGAATCCTGCTGCTGCACAATTTTAACGTGTTTTTAGATTGGGTTATGGTCGAGAATAAGCTTTATGTGGCCTCTCTGGACTCCCATATATTTGCACTAAGTTTAGTCGGGCACCATTTGCGGTCATCAGCCGACATTTGAAGCAAAAAAATCAGGTAAAAAAAAAAAAAAAGCCGCGTCGCCGCATCACTTTGTGGGCAAGCTCCATACCAGAAACCGGAGACTTTTTTTTTGGCCTAAGGTAACAGTACCAGTATTTAACTGAATAAATTTGAAGCTTGTCAACAACAAGGTTTGACAGCTCTGCATGAGACAAAGCACGAGAAAAGTAGAAGTGTGTCACGTAAGGGGACTCCACAATACTTGGAGACTGGAAAAAAAAGAGAAAGACAAAAACACAACAGATTATTCTCAAACCATGACGTACCTTTAATGTATGCCATCCATGCAGTGGGGGCACCCTCCGTCAATGCGCAATCACTAGGCAGCTTGACAGTCAGCTGTATACAAACAGCGCCCTCTGGCGTTACATCAAGTAGAGGGTGAGAGGTTGCTGGTGTACTGGATGGGACGAGGGGTTTGATTGGCTGATCTGATATTGACAGTGAGTCCAGCTCGCTGACTGGTGCTTCACTTGTTGATGGAAAGATTATCTTCAGCTGTAAAAAAATCATGACATACACACATTTTTATTCACTTCATTTGGGCCGCACAATAACCTTATTTCTTTCGAGCTGTCCATTGATGTATGAATACACATCACCCAACAGAATACTTAGACGTTAATGTTGAAAGGAATTTCTCATATTAAAGAGGAAGCACACAGAAGCATGGCAGGACCACAAGAAATCTAATAACAAATTGGTATCTTACTGCAGTGAGTTACTCTTCATCGCAGTGAGTTAACAGGGAGTTATTATCTCGAGAAAGTAACTCGGCGCTAACTTGCTGCTGCAAGACAGTGTCTCACCGCAGACTTGCTGCGTCGAGAGAGTAACTCGCTGCTCTCTCATCGCGGTGAGAGAGTAACTTGCGTGACGGGATAGTAACTTGCTGTAGAGAGATAGTAAGTTGCCGGATGAGATACAATTTTGGAAAGTTTTTGTTGCCCCTCTACACTTCTGTTGAAATAAAATCCACAAAACTTTTTCTAAGCAACTGTAGGAATTAGAAAAAAATTCAAAAAAACTAAATTTATCAATACATTTTTACATTGACGACTTTTCAAAGTTTACCTCTTTGACCTTGCGTTCTTCCAAATCCCACACCCTTATTGCGTTGTTGTTGGTGTCTGCCACATACAGTTTCCTGAAGGTTGGAGAGATGCAAAGCCCACCCGGCTCATTGAATTCCACCTCTGATAGAATGGAACCGTCCACTTTCCCAGGCTTGCCACTGCCTGCCACAGTGACGCAGGACTTCTTGACGGGGTCTACCACTTTAATCTGCAGGAAGAATAATTGTTGACAAATGTAGTTTAACCAATTATGAAGTATCACTGCATTGCTCAAATCACTAAAATTTTGGCCCCTTTTAATCTTCACTGTGATGACTGTAGACTTGCAACAATTACTGATCATTGTGTCAGTTTTTTAATTACATTTTTCAGTTTGACTCATCTAAAACAACTTGGTGAATATGAAGGCTTCTTTTCAAAACACACAAGAGGACATGCCTACAAAACAAAACACCCAAGCCCAAAAAACGCAAACATTCCATGCAGGACATCATTTCACATGGAAGAGGAATGTACACAAAAGATGACATATTTGACGAAAATGATGTTAAAACCAAAGTTCCATTATCAGCATCATATATTGAGCAATTGTCGGCAAAAATCAAGTCTGTGTTTTGATTCATGAAAACCAAAACCGAAAAGGTAATGACAAATTGATTGAAAAAATATAATCATACTCTTGCTGGTCTATATGAATGTCAAGACAAAGGCAACAATAAACTGTCTCCCTTCAGCTTGCGACATCAAATTTGAAATATTTGGGGGGGGGGTGGGGGTGGGGGGGGGGGAGTGGAATTTCTAGAACTGACTTACCTTGTGGTTGTAAGAATCAGCAACGTACAGATGCTGTACGAGTGGGTTCCAGGCTAGGCCCAGTGGGTGCTGTAGTTTAGCGTCACGTCCTGCGCCATCAACATCACCAAATGCAAACAGATTCTGCATGGGGCAAAACAGACATCAACTGTTGAAACATTTTTCGTGAAAACTCTTCCCAAATGGCAATTTAAAGCCAGAGTCCATCATTTGCAGCTATACAAAGAGTAACTGGCGTAATTATTGTTAAAAAACATACTTGGTTGAAAGATAGTAAGAAGACTAAACTCCCTGTGAAATTATGCTTTCTGGCAAGCTGTCATTTTGAAGAAATCAACGAAAGAAGGCCTTTCCAACGATGCATCTTAAGAAGCACCGTTGGAAATTTCCGTTTTCAGTGGGTTTTTTTTATTCGGCGAAGCGCGCAAGCGTTGACACACGACGCACAAACGCGCCCGGTTGCTATAATTCGTTGGATCGGTACGCAACATTGCGTAGCTGCAATCGGCTTGTGAGAACATGTATCGGACGATGAATTCAGGCCCAATTCAAAACATGATTCTGCAAATTTTGATTTGAAATCGAGATCCTAGAATGCTGTTTTTCTCGAAATATACAGCTGAAGCTGAGCTGAAACTTCATCAGGTTAGTTGTTCAGCACCGTTCTTTAGAATTTGAGCCCTTTTGTTGCTTCAAATGAACAAAATGCACAAATTACCTTTAAATTGAAACTTCCAATAGCCTTCCTACATCCTGCAAAATCCACCAAAACCTCCAAGTGGTCGTTCAAAGGATTTATACAAAAATGTATGTTTCGCCATCAGACATAAATGAACCCCAACCTTCTTTCCATACAACTTGCATCAATAAGCTCCTGTTAAACTTAAGAGCATTGTGAGAGGTTTTTGACTTGAACATTTCTGAGGTGTGCTATTTTGCCTCCTGTACAGGAGCTTTTATTTAACAAAGTGGGGTTTTTTACTTTATTTACCCACATGACAAATCAATTAATCAGGCCTACAACTTTAATTAAAGAAACGTGCATCCATCTCAACTCACCATGGGGTCCAACTCCCCACCCACCACCCCTTTAACTGCGCCGTCCTTCAGCGACACGCTGCGTATGCTGCTACTCTCGCTGTCGGCGACGTACATGCAGCTCAGGTAGTCCACGTGGGGATTGACCAGGCCCGAGGGCTGGGCAAAGCTGGCCTTCCGGGGGTAGGCGTTGTTACGATTCTCTTCATTCCCGGAGCCGGCATACAGCATGCAGACCCCTGCATTGTGCTCACTGATGAGGGTAAAAGGGCAACGAGAGAACAAGGTTGGATTGTTTTCTGATTTTATTTTATTGACCGTTTATATAACAAAAATCTTAAAAGAGAGCCATTTTAATATCCATCATGACACAACAGAAAAGTCACCCTTTCAAAACAAGGAATACTGGAATTGTCCCCCCCCCCCCTCCAAATTGCAAAAATATTCAGTTCTGGGGGTTTCTCATTATAGGCCAATCACCACACCAAATGTCGTTTCAATCTGTGAGGGTCGGGTGAAAAATCGTGTTACATTGACATGGAATGACCCATTTTAAACAGCTTTCTTCAAAGAAATGTAAGGAGAACCATCACTCACCTTTTGTTTTTGAGCCATTTGCTCTCCTTCAAGAACAGACCCCAGATTTGATGGCTGCCCGCCATGGCGATGAAAAGGATGCTGTCGTCTAGTCCCCCGAGACAAACATCCCAGGGGGAGCTCAGTACCTGCTCAGGGCCAGGCGCCCCTCCCCACTGACACTTGTGATCACCCATCACCCCTGTGCCTGCAATGGTAGACACCGTCTGGGCTTTCAAGTCTATCTGAGGACACAACAATAACATACATGTGTTAACCAGTTCGCTCCGGGATTATTTTGGCATTGAACGGACTCTGGTTTGGGATTGTTTTTCCCGAACCTCGATGCCAGATGGGTTCAGACCATCATCTGCGGGTAGCACACCCTGATATTTCCGGCCTCGCTTGCTGCGTGTTTATCCATCATCCATTCTGAATACTGCAAAACTTTTGCGTGTATACACATCATCCGACGTGAACTGGTTAAAGGTAGTATACAACAAAAATTTGCTTTTGCTTTAATTTTCAGAAATGGATGGATTTGGGGGTTAGTATTTAGTAGCAAATATTGTCACACTGAACCTTTTAAATTGGGGGCTGTATTTGAAAAAGTCAATTTTTTTCCAACAATGGTTGGCCGACCATTGTTGGAAATTTATATAAAATTCCACTTTTCTTTTAAATGATAGTACACCAGGTACCATGATTTCACAGGATGCTTAAGACTATCATTAACTTGCAGTCGAGTGAGGTATTTCATAATAATTTAGTAGTTTTGTTTATGTTTCCAAATGACAGGGCATATGTTTGCAAATGACAGGGCATATAAAATGATACAATGATAACTAGAGATTCGCGTTTGTCGAGTTACAAACGCAGGGTGATCAGGAATTATGTGTAGTGCTTATAGCTGTAGTGCTTTCCACCAAATGTAGGTCTCAAAGCGCTTCAGTATTAGTACCCCTGTTAAACAGGCCATGAGACCACTTTTCTGTAGCCGAGGTCGGCGGAACCTGGTCTCTGCCTTCACAGGTACCCATTTATACTCCTAGGTGGAGAGAGGCAATTGTAGTAAAGTGTCTTGCCCAGGGACACAAGCGCCATGTTTCCCATCAGGGTTGAACCCACATACCCTGGCACATGGGTTGAACACCGGTGGACCATGGCACTCCACAAGATACAGGAGTGCCTTTTTCAAAGTCTAGTTGAGTAGCTTGTAACGTACGTATCTTGAGATTGGATGACTTGTGATTGACTTGTGAGCACTTGTGACTACAACTCATGTTGTGAGCTACTATCCAGTGCATGTCAAACATTCACCTTTCTGATAGCATGGTTTTCCGTGTCGGCCACATAAATGATATGATCCTTCCACACCATCCCTTGTGGTGAGTGGAACCGCGCTTCTGGGAACGATCCATCCACAAAACCCTTCTCTGTCCCGCCGATGCAGTAAAGCACTACACCCTCCCGTGTGGTAACCAGAATACGATGGTGGCCGCTATCTGCCACTGCGAGATCGTTCCCTTGACCGTCGACTTCGATTTTTCCAGGGAAAAGAAGCGGTGATTCAGGAAGGGTATCCTTCAGGCGGGTAAGCATCGGGAGTTCTGCATTTGCAGCGATCTCTCCTCTGGATTTGAAGAATTCTAAGGCGACCTCGCAGATTAAGAGCATTTTTTTGCGGTTCCCTTCCCCTATGATGGGCAGGAGGTACTCCCCCGACGGTCCCACCAGCACCAGGGTGGGCCAGCACTGCACGTCCAGCGCGTTCCATAACACCGCCTCCTGATCGTTCACCACAGCGTGGGCGATATCGTAGCGTAGTACGGCGTTGAGGACGTTCGCCGAGGATTTCTCGTTCTCAAACTTGGCGGAGTGGACTCCGACCACGATGAGCCCATCGCTGACTGGGAACCTTTCTTCCAGAAGCTCCAGGTCCGGCAGGATGTGCATGCAGTTGATGCAGCAGTAGGTGAAGAAATCCAGCACCACCAGTTTGCCTCTCAAGTCACGGTGCAAAGACAATGGCTGCTTTGTGTTGAACCATTCAAGACCTGTAAGTTCAAGCAAAGGAATTCTGGTTTAGAATTCTGGTTTAGACATTGAAACTTATCTCTGAAAAACTTCCTTTTGCCAAGCAGGGCTTTTTATAAGTTTAAGGCTGATGAATAGCATTTCAAAGTACCACCTCCCTGTCTCCTTCAATTTGAGGGGGGAAAAAAGAGAGAAATTAAAAATGTAAGTGTTATCTAAAGGTTATATCGCAGAGATGTTTAATCAGAATTCTTTCAAATACACTATTAGGCCAAAAAAAATAATAAGTCGGTCTCTGGTCAGCGCGCGCGTCGATTTTAATCATGCGCGTCAATCTTTTTTTTTCCCAAAATGTTCCGCGGTAGCTCCAACAGCGCCCTCTATTGCCGCACCTCCTCAATTTTTTTTTACCAAAGAGCACCAAGGAATGGGAAATTGCACCAAGGCAAATGATCGAGAGCACCAAGGCAAATTATGGAGGACACCAATGTACATGAGGACACCAAAAAAGCAAAAAAGTACCCCACCTTGTCTGTACAATCCAAGCTTGAAGAAAAAAAAAAAAGCAAAAAAAAAAAAAAAAAAAGCCGCATCGCCGCGTCAATTCCGGAACTTTGCCTTTGGTCTGACCAGAGACCAAATATTTTTTTTTGGGCCTTATGTCTCTTATTTTTTTTTCCCGGTCCCCCCCCCCCAATACGCGTATACTTTTCATATCCACTCTACTTTTCAGCGCCTTGCGTTGCAACAGTATAATTATTAAGAATCAGTGAACGAGGATGCAGCTAGACTTGCCAAGCGCAGCAGGTGCTCGGTATCGACAAGCCCGTTAATATCTTGTCGCGCATTCTTAAAGGGAATATACATCATTTGCTTTTACTGTAATTTTCAGAAATGGATGGAATTGGGGGGTTGGAAATATATAGCAAATATAGTTACACTGACTTTTTTGAGGTTTTGGGTTCGAAAATGCTATAAAAACCAAGAAAAACAATCATTTTCCTGTAGTCTGGTTCCCTGACTCCATATAAGAAGAAACGGAGCAGTTTACATACATTGGGGAATTGTAAGGTCAGGGAACCAGTCTAGCTGGCTTGTACCCGTTCATAGCCTAGGTTTGTAATCGATTGCAAACAAGTGCGATGGTCAATTGGGGGCAGTATTTGAAAAAAAGCCAGTTTTTTCCAACGCTGATCGGCCGATCAGCGTTGGAAATTGATACAAAAATACCACTTTTCTTGAAAATGACAGTATACCAGGTGCCATGATTTTACAGGATGCTTTACACTGTCATTCACTAACAGTCCAGCAAGGTATTTCAAAATGATTTGGTAGTTTTATTTTTTGATGTTTGCAAATGTTGTATTTTCCCTTTAAGAATGTGCGCTCAATCTGGAAGAGTTATTTTTTGCGACGATTGCGCAAGGATCCAGTTGCACAATCATAAGAATGTGCATGCGCATTCTTAAGAATGCGTGATTTTCAAGAAAGCGCACAACAATTGCATTGCTTCTGCTTGTAATGTAATGTATACTGTGTCACTGTCACTGTGCATGTCATGCATGTGCACAACAGCGAAAGTTTGAGCGAAATTTTGCCTACCTTCGGGAAAGTCCTGCACGATTTTACCATCTTCTGGGTCACATTGTCTCTCCAAGTATTTCAGCACAATTTCACGTTTTTGTTCGTCTGTTTTGGCCGCCCTCAGGGCCATATCAAGGATGTTTATGCTCCCCATTTTGAAGAACGGTGCCCGCTACTTTGATTTACTTCCGCATTAATGCCATTTGGGATAAATCATTTTTGCTTGGGGGTAAACATATTACACCTCTCTTTTTTCCTACAATTATTTTTTAAGTTTTAAAAACTAATTTAAGCTTAATATTAATTCATTGATTATCGAACAATATTGTACACTTCTTCTTTTTCTTTTCGACAGCACGAACGAATTATTTATAAATGAAACCCTTCTTCAAAATGATATACAGTACCTGTAGTGAAAATGAAACACTCTTCGGAAATCCGGACTAGTGAGCCCTCAATCGTCCAGAAAAGATTAAGCCAATCACCATCGACGGTGAATGGTGAAATTTGTTCATGCTTAATTTGGTCAAGAATAAGTTTTGAAAGTTTTCGTATCGAGTGACATTTTTGAGAATGAGTTTAAATGACCTGTTTGTCCAGATTTTGCAGTCCGAGCAGAAGGCGAAAGAAAGGAAAACATTACTTAATGAAGGTAGCCTAGTTTACGAAGTTTTATTTGACCCAAAAGTCCATGGCCCTAATTTGTTTTAATGCAATCCTTGAAAATGCACCTTTGTGTCCCATTTTTAACCTGATTTTCAATTTTCGTTTTGCCATTTCTCACGGGTATTTTGGTACCTTGTTGGTTTTTATGTTAATGAAAATGTCGATATTCATGAGCAAAAGGGTGATGTCATTTTTATTTCCAGGAAGAAACCTCACTGACAATGTATTGTTAAAGGTATTTCAGCAACAAAACTTGCCAGAATTTTGCTTATTTTGCTTTCGTGTGAACTGTCTTTTCTTTGGTGATTCGTTGTTGTGTCAGTACTTGACAGTATGCCAATGAACAATTTTTTCTCACAAATGTTTGCAATGAGCAAATGTTGGGGTTCACAATTTGAGCAGAAAACCCCTAAACTAAACAGTGTCTTCCTTAAATGACATCACAGCAACAGGGCCCTCAATTGTCCAGAAAAGCATGGACATTTTTTTTTTTAAAGTGCACTTTTCAATTAAATCAACCAAAAAGGGATGTCAAATTGTTCTCATACATTTGAGAGGAGTAGAAATTTGCACAAAATGTTTTCCTCAGAAAAATCATCTCATTGACCCTTAAGAAAGTTGAAAGTTCGGTGTGGGGGGGGGGGGGGGGTGTCATTTCTGTCTTCTGAGGTTATGTTATTGTTAGTCAAAGTTGCAAAGAAAGAGTAGGCATACAAATCTCTGTTTCTCCCTTCTCCAAATTCTAGGGGAGGAGAGGGTTGTTTTTCTTTTTTTCTTTTTTTTTGGGGGGTGGGGGATGGGGGCACTGATATACATAGACCTATGTCTATGCATAATTTGTGTTTTATGTTAGACACAACATTGTGTTGTGTCCTGTATGCACTCATTTTTTCATCTGATTTTAACAGTCAAGAATGAAATTGGCAAAGTGAAAGAGCAAATTAAGGATGTGCAGGAAGAACGCATCTCCACACAGGGGCAGCTTGTTGTCAAGGTAACCAAAATGTGTTTTAATTACAAATGTGCAGCATGTGCATGATTCTTATGGCTTAAAATGGACATGTTTATTTGTACTTCTGTATTTGATTATGATATTTATTCCATTAAATCTGCTACGAAACTGCATTATTCTCTCAATAATATGTATTTTTAATGTAAAATACGTGCACATTATGTGTTTGTAAACAGATCCGTGTAATATTTCTAGTACGCCCCAACTATTTATAGCATGGATGGCTGCACCCGTAGTAGCAAGAGTGCAACAAATATCCACAGTGTCCACTTTTGAGAGAAATTTGTAGAAAATAATCTGATACAAAGAAAGGAGATTGATGAATCAAAACAATATTATTTTAAAGTCACATTTAGAATTATTTCAAATCTAAGAATTGTTTTCCCCGCAACGTATGACCTTTTTTTCTTAATAATCAGACCCAACATCAGACTGACGCTGAGCTGTCGGTGGTCTGGTTAAGACACAGAGAAGTCATTCTAAGAAATCAGTTGGCTCAAGTTGCAAGGGAGAGAGACGCCAGTGCACAAGAACTGGTGAAGTATAAGTTGCCATTTTCCCAAAGCTTCATACCTTTTCCCCCCTGAATATTCTTACTTTTTCAAATTACTGTTTAACAATTGTTGACTGCTGTGATGTGGGATATGACGTTTTGAACACCCACATCACAGCAGTCAACAATTGTTTTGTTATACCTCTGTCTTGGATTCTTTGGATTTTTATGTAAAAATCACGAAAACAAACAGCAGTAAGCACAACAACATGACAATCGAATGTCCACTCGCATGCATGTCACGTGCTTGAAACAGCTGATCGTCTGCTAGTTCACTGCTCCCACTCATGTGTGAAAACATGGTGAAAATAGCGTGGGTACCAACGATACAAGCGTTTCACACTGTACGACGTGCCGTATACATACAAAGTCATAGCACACTCCCTGTGGGATATCACATACGTGATATCCCACAGGGAGTGTGCCAGGACTTTTTATGAACTTAACACGTGATGGTTCTAGGCCAATAAAAATACAGTATGCAAGGCAGAGGTATATTGTCTGATAATTTTTTTGTTAAAAGCAAAGCTTACAGTTTATCTCAACGCACTGTACAAATGACATTAACATAATTAAAATATATTTAAAAATGTTATGTAAAACATTAACGTGAATGATAACTAAATGAAAAAGATAACTTTCAACCAATGATTTGAAAGACTCATAACTACTGGCTGCACATTTTCATTTTCCTCAACACAATTACACCTTATACCATTTTGTATTTATCTCTCAACAAAACATCAAAAGTCTTGGACAGATCTAGGAAATGATAAAAAGTTTTTTTTAATTGGAAAATGCAATTAAGGGTTCTAAATACATTTGCATTGAAATCCAACTTTTTGAAATGGTTCAAAATTTGACATTGTGAATGGAGCATGTTATATGTGAGCTCTTCTCAGTACTTTTATACAAAAAAGCAATCTAGGCTGTAAAATTTCAAAACCTTGTGTGAATTTGAGATTCCCAAAACTCCTACAGCCTGGGAAATATTCTCAGGGAAAAATGTATTACGTTCACCCTGAACTTTCTTATATGTTGATATCTGCACACTCTATTGTGACGTATGAAAATATAACAAAACACAGAAATCCGTGGAGGCCATCCAGACTGAGGACCAAGGGGACTTCATCCAAGAGATTGCAGGCTTCAACCAGACTCACGGCCTGTGTGGAGCAGGGAAGAAAGAGAGAGAGTCCGAGGCTAGACAACAATTCAGAGAGTTGAGAAAGCAAGAGGAATCTTTGCTGATAGGTAGGGCCTACCAATCAAGAAACATAAAATTTAAGAATTGAATAAAAAAAAATTAAAATCAGGTTTTTCTCCTTAAGATAATTGGAACAAAGTCGGATGTTGGTAGCAAGTATTTTTACAAATTGGAGCAAAACGCCCTGAGAATTTAAGGTGGTTTATGGCGGACTAATTGGTCCCATCTCTCCGTCAATTTCGTCTCCAGAAAAAAAGTGTGTTTTTTTTAAGGGAGAGTTGCTTTCCTGAATTTTACTGAATTTGAACTTGTCTGAAAATTGGATTCTGTAAAAACATTTGAACAGTACTGAGTATATAGTGTTTATGCAATTATTTCGGTGGAAGGCAAAAAAACAAACCAACTTTGAAAAATGTCATCTCCAACTCCAAGTAACCAGCATGCAAGGTTGGAAAAAAATACCAGAGTATTTGTATAAGCCGGCATATACTACAGGCCTATGAACTTGTCTGACCGTAAGTCACAGTGGAATTCCAACTCCGTTCATCGATGTAGAAAATAAGGAAGGAATCTCTACCGAAACTAGACTCTTATCTTTACATCAATAAATTGATGTAATGATGTGATTTTTTTTTGTCTAGAATTATCAGATTACCGTCAGACCAAAACAAAAACAAGAAAACTCCAAGAAGATAAGAAGGTGCTGGAATCGGAGGTTAAACATCTTCAAGACAGTTTACAAGGTGGGTAAGACTGTAGATGTAGCATAAGATAAACAAAAAGTAAAACACAATACCTCTAACCTGTGCATTTTCACTTATCTCTGTCATGGTTGATTCTCATCTTTTGTGAAAAAGTGGAATTTGTAAAAAAATAAAAGTGAAGTCGGGATGAAATGTTTGGATTTGGATCAATTTAAATATATGCAGAATTCAGTTTCCTACTTTTTAAAAACTTAAAAATCTTTGTTATGGAAATGAAAATTAGATGGTTTCTTTCCGTTGCATTAATCACAGGATTGCATAAGCAACTGGATAAAAAAGGTGCTATTACAAAGCAGCTTGAAAGGGTCAAAAGTGAAGTGGCAAGTAAACCTCAGAATGACGCAGAGTTTTTGAGGTAAGGAACAGAAATGCTTTATTAAGTAATGTTCTGAAACTGATTTTGTTTTCAACCGCTGCATCCATTTGGACTCAAATCTCTCCTTTTTTTTCGGAAGTGTTCTCTTTTCCTCACCTACTCATCTAGGAACATTGGCAATTACACGGAAACAGACCTGCCAAATTAATGAGGAAAAACCTTGCTCAAAGTGAAGATAGGGATGCATGGCACCAAATACCCTGTGAGATTATTCCGTCTGAAATGGTATCATTTGGAAGGAAACTTTCATCAAAGATGGTTTTTTAAAAAAGTGGGCACACTTTTTAAAATCTAGTAATGGAATCCACTAACAAGACCAACAAAAACTGTATAGTATCCACTGAGCCGAATTTCAACAGGTTTAGTTGTTATGCACTGTACTTAAGATTTTTGAGCAATTTTGTAGCTTTAAAAAAAAAACCATAATGCAAAAGCAGCAATGATCCTTTGAACCTTTAAACGAAAGAGGTGAACATTTATTAATGTAGCTTTATGGTGATGGAGTCTGTTTTCATGGAACTTGGTTCAGAAGTCAAAACTTTTTCGTTGACACTCCTCAAAGAAAATGCACATATTCAGTTAATTGTGTACAGTTGAGGTGACTGTAAGGTTTGTGACTAGATGCTATTGTTTTCTGTTGAGCAATTGGATAAAGCTTTTGTAAATATGTTAAATATGCAAATACAGCGTGTGTCAATAAAAATGTAGCAGTCAATCCATAAATATTAAAATACTAGCACTCTCTTTTTGCAAAACTTTGAAGGTATGGTAAACACTGTACACAATGGTCTTGATCCCATCTCATTTGGACACCCCAGTCCGGAGATACAGCTACTTACCGGTAAATGAAACGACTTGAATTCCAAGTTGGGCCACTTTTCAGAAGGTGTGTGAATGCCTTCCATTAGATACCAGATAATCTGAAAAATGGCCCAAACAGATTTTGGCAGTCTTTACAAGCGTTGCCGTAACTTTTAAACAAAAGGTCCAAATCACACAGAACAAAAATCCTGTCAAGGGTAAAGAGACAATCTATCATCTCATGCCTGTTTCCTCAGAGAAGAAGGTTGTTTGACTGCTACATTTTCTGGAGGCATGCTTTATATACATGTATTTAAATACATTGTACATGTACAAATAGGGAAAACTTGTCATTCTTATCAGTCACACCGCTTATGTCCTACTTGTTTCAGACTGCGCAGCAAACTGGAAGTTTGCCATGACGAGGGCTTGGAAGCAATGTGCCAGGCCTTACAGCAGGAGGTGGATCGTCTGCAGCGCCAACGCTGGCAGCAACAACTGCAGCGACAAGCCAACCAGGCTAACGGCACCACTGCTGCAGCAGCCAGCACACAGCAGCAACGCGGAAACGCCGGCCCAAAGAAAGTACAAAAGAAACAGGTGAGGGCAAGAATGAAAACTCTTAGGAACCAGAAGCTAATTTTACAGACCTGCTTATCAAACTTACTAAGCACAGAAACCTCTGATGAGTAAAATCAGGTACAACCAGCAGAGGTAGAAACAGGCGGCCTGAAGAAAGCACAAAAGAAACAGGTTAGAGATTTCGGAACCTAGGGCTGATTTCATAGGGGCTGCTTAGCTCATCTTACAGTTTATTTGGCATAGAATTTCGCCTCAGCAATATCAGGCACAAACTAGCCGAGTAGAAACACATAAAGGCACAAAGAAACCGGCGAGGGTTAGAATCTTAGAAACCTGGAGAAAATGTCATAAAGCTGCTACTTCTTTTTCTGTTAATAAAAGTTGCTATCAGAAGCAGCCCTGGAAAAGGCCATTAAAGTGAGGGTTACACAAATAAATGGAAAAAAAAATTGGGGATCATAAAAAGTACTTATTCAAGTTGCACTTGAATTGGGAGAGACATACAAGCAGCAGGGAAACAGGGTGTGTAAGGAATTTCACAACGAGGCTTGAGATGGGAAGAAACCGGTACAATACCTTATTGAATTTGCTCTTTTGGACTGAGACTGCAAAATATTCGCAGCAGAAAAGCAAAAGCACCGGCACAAAGAAAAGACAGAAGAAACAAAGGCTTAGAAATGTGGAAATCGTACAGGGCTCATTCCATTGAAGACTTTTTTTTCCTAAGAAAAATTAGGTTGGAAGCCAAAATGTCGAGTGATAACCCTTTTGTAAATTGGTTCAGAAGTCAGTGTTGTAGTCGAGTCAATCACAAGTCCTTTCATAAGTCCAGTCACGAGTAACGAGATGAACAATGACAAAGGAATGCTTTTGTAACAGTTCATTTGAATAGCTAGTGACTTGACTTGAGACTGAAGGACTTGTGATGGACTTGCAGGGACTTGTGATGCACTCGACTACAACACTCTCAGAAGTGATGTTTTTTTTTACAACATACTTCCATGCAATAATGTCAAATAAATTGTAACACATTGGATTTCCACTTTGTGTACAGGTCCAGCCAAGCTCACTCTCCATTTCCAACCAATCTGCCGGCCCAGTCAACACTTGGAGCAGTTTCCGCGTCACGCGCCCGACCCAGCGAACCCCATCCCCTCAGGATGCTCACCAACATCCCCCTCAGACCATACCAGGCAATGACCACCACCCTGCTGCAACTAGTGCTGCGACCAAGCCCCGCACAGCCTTCAGTATAAAGAAGGAGCCACCATTCCGTACTGGAGGGGTGAGCAAACCCAACTTGGCAAGGCTGACGAGAACCGCTGAGGATGCGAAGACAGGCAAACCATTGGTACGGGCATTTCACCCCAATAAAATTTGGTGCATATAACTATTGACGAAATATTCCATAAACTATGCAGTTAAAATGTACTCTTTTCAAATACATGAACAAATTGGTTGCTCTAAATCAAGCATGTTATACCATATTATATAACCGACATACAGATCCTTGTCATTTGTTTGGTGGAACTCACATCACGTGACATTCGTTATTACTTCCATTCACGCCAAGGCTCGAAAAGTCCCATTCGCCCATGGGGAATGGGAAATACTATTGAACAGTTAGGATCATTCTTGTTCCAAGACGCGGTATTTGTGTGCAAATGCATGCTGGTGTGCGCGTTCAGCGTTGCACATAGCACGTATTGTTCCAAAGAGCCAGCACTACAAAGTTGGGTTCAAACATTTTCATGAAGGGGTGGTTTGGAAGAGAGAAATACATTTCCCATCAATTTTGTAGTAAAATAAAAGTTCAAATAATATCAAATGACAAGGATCTACATGTCAGTTATATAAAACAAATATTGAGTGGCTTTCAATCGCTCGGTAAAATCTGGACTTTTCCAGTTCACTCGGCTTCGCCTCGTGAAATGAAAAAGTCCAGATTTTACCTTGCGATAATATTCCTCCCATTTCACTCTGAGCCACTAAATATTTGTATACTAGTTAACCAATTAGCACTTGTACTAAATGGGATACTTTTAAGACGTTGGTGGCAGCAAACACACCGGTCCTTTTTCTATTGTTTTGCGTCATATTGAGCATGCACGCTTTAGCTTAAACATGACGTAGACAATTGAAAAGGACTGGTATGTTTGCTTCCACCAACGTCTCCCATTGTATTACATTGTGTTTATTCACTGAAGAATCCATAAAACCATAGAGTGCTTTGGCGGTTTTGGGCACTTCAGGGAGTGATAGGCAGGGTGGTTTTAATAGGGAGCTACAGTGACGAAAGGGTTAAAAAGGGCTGATTTGTGAAGAAAAAAACTAATCTTTAAATAAAAATTGCTGACATCTTTGAAGTTTTGCATTTGTTGTCCACTGTTACAAAGACCTATTAAACTACAAAGATATTATCTACAATTGTAGTAAAGTGTCTTGCCCAAGAACACAAGCACCATGTTTTCCATTAGGGTTCAAACACACCATGACACGAGTCAGACACTGTACCAATTGGACTACGGCCCTCCACATGACAACTCTGTTACATTCTTGTCACCCTAAATTGTCCCAGAATCCAGCTCCCAATACCAAGAGGTTTCGCTTCCGGCAGACTTTCCTCCGAGACCAACCCCCGTCAGCCACAGTCAGGCCAAACCAGCCCTCCTCCCTGGCATTTAGTGAAAGAGCTGACAGTCATGATGGTGGTTGTACAACACATGGTCTTAATCCACCTTCTTTATCATCACAGTAAGTTACCACATTGAAGCAAAGTGCAACAGGTATTGCCTTTAAAGGGGCACTAGGTCCTGAAATCCCCGAAAATGTTATGTTTTGGATTGTTTACTTAGCCTATTTCAAACATCTGGTTGAAAGGAAACCAACCTAATGTCTTACCGTTCCCGAGAGGCCGAGAAAAGACAAAAAAAACCCGCTTGTTTACATCGGACATGACGGAGTACGAATACGTTTTTCGTGTCGTTCTCATGTACGCTATACACATTGTGTGTCTCGGGAACAGCGCGCGGTGACCAATCACCAATGCAAAAAATTGTGGTTTCTTCAACATCCGCAAAAGGCGAACACTTTACGCGTACGAATGAAATCACAACTAGCATCCAAACAGCTCGAATTTATGGGGTCGCAAAAGTGGACCCCGAAATTCATTCTCGCACGCATAATACAGGAATAACACAAAAACGCCCAGTTTTGAAAGGATATTTGTTTGGATGTTTATATCCTACTTTTAAAAGTTATTTCCGATTATCATCATTTCGTTCAAAGTGCGTTTTGTAGCCCAATTGGGCTGTTCCAGGACCTAGTGTCCCTTTAAGGTAATAGACATCATTTGCAAACATTCAAAAATGAAACTGTCACATATATCATGAAATATTATACTTGATTGTACATGTCCATGTAAGTAAAAAAGAGGATTATTCATCCTGTGAATTCATTGCGCCTAGTACGCTGTCATTTTCAAGAAAAGAGGAATTATCCTCATTTCCTTGCGGTAATTAGGACCAAACTCTCACACTTTCATTGGAAACCTATGCTGTGCATTGACAAAAATGAAGATGCATTCTCACAGTTTTCTCAAAAAGTATATCTACTGAGCTGAAATTTGAACGGATTAGTTTTCTAATAACCAGCTTCAGATTTATTGTATAGTGGTGTGTGATTATCAAAATTCAATAATCGCTTAATCAAACACAAATGAATCACGATTAATTCGCAGTTTAAAATCATCAAGAAAGCACCATATTTCCTGGATCTTCAAGATGACAAATAAAATACAGATCCAAAGCCATTTCCTTTAGCTTTTATGGACTTTAAAGGGAATATACATCATTTGCTTTTGCTGTAATTTTCAGAAATGGATGGAATTGGGGGGTTGGAAATATATAGCAAATATAGTTACACTGACTTTTTTGAGGTTTTTGGTTCGAAAATGCTATAAAAACCAAGAAAAGCAATCATTTCCCTGTAGTCTGGTTCCCTGACTCCATATAAGAAGAAACAGAGCAGTTTACATACATTGGGGAATTGTAAGGTCAGGGAACCAGTCTAGCCGGCTTGTAATCGTTCATAGGTGTGTAATCGATTGCAAACAAGTGCGATGGTGAATTGGGGCAAGTATTTGGAAAAAAAAGCCATTTTTTTCCAACGCTGGTCAGCCGACCAGCGTTGGAAATTGATACAAAAATACCACTTTTCTTGAAAATGACAGTATACCAGGTGCCATGATTTTACAGGATGCTTTACACTGTCATTCACCAGTCCAGCAAGGTATTTCAAAATGATTTGGTAGTTTTATTTTTTGATGTTTGCAAATGTTGTATTTTCCCTTTAATAAGTGAAGAGGAAAAAGTTGAGGAAAAAAAAAAACTACTTAAATTATGACGTAATAATGTTGTCTATGTCACATTGTTGAAAGCTGATTCTTTCGAAGAGACAGTCCCAATCCGTTTCTTAACTGTGTGGCCGCCGCACTGCTAATCGCGATTAGTTCGAAATAATCGTGACAGGTCGATTAAACAAAAAAGCTGTGATTACTGGTAGTAACGCATATCAACCATCAATTATTATCGATTAATCACACTTATCGTTCACCACTGTTATTGTATGCTTGTTCCTTGAATTGGCAAAATCGCATTTTTTTTTGGAAATGATGTCCATTACCTTTTAATTTTAATAATGTGAGGCATATTTAGAAAGAGCCGGGATTAGCATAGATAAAGACTGGGGAAAATGTCAAGTGCTATCAAACATTACTATTTTAAACTTCTGATAATTATTTGTACTATTTGCAGAGTTCCGGGCACAGCTAAGAAAGTGCGTTTCAAGTACTAGGTCAGACGATGTGAAGAGAGCTAGAGCTGCATTATCTGTTCCCAGGATGTGAAACTGAACTGAGACGTTACGAAATGGATAGTAAATCCGTTTCTGTTTTCCATGTTTTGGTGACTTTCTCATTAATTTTGATCTGTGTATTTGGTTTGCTTTGTTGTAGTCTGTTAGTTGGTTGGCGTGTCTTGTCAGTCAGAACTATCGTATGTTGGCGAAACCAAACCTGCTTTCTGGTCATGTGGGGATAGTTGAATTTATTCTCTTAATCTGACAGTCCTTTTTTCCTGTTTGTCACTGTTTTGATTCTGAACATCGTGGCTGATATCCGAGATATTCATAGGTTGATTTCCAAAACTGGATCAACTGAGAGGCAGATCTTTGCCCTATTTCAATGGTTGTGCTTAACATGAGAATAGAGTCTTCTTGATCAGAAAATTATGCACTGACACTGAGGGTATGTCACATGTAAATAAGGACTTTTTGGCATGTAGGCAGCATGCATTCATTCCATTACTGCAGCTTCTGTGCTAACAGAGCGAGTACTGCATTTCTGTCCTAGTGAGCTGTTAGCCAGTTTGCGTCGGAGGCCGTGTTAACACGCACTGGCTGTTTTTATACACAGGCACGGCTGACGGGTTAAAACATCAAGCGTGCCTCAACTCGCCTTCAGGTGACTTCTAAACATGCTAATTCCTTGCGTTTTTTGTACACACACACAAAGTCCATGAAGTCTGTGGAGGCGGACCGTGTGTTGATCTTGAATTGGCCGCTGTGCACGGCCTATTGTTCCACAATTTACGCTCCGTTGCACACCCCAGAGTGTTGAAAAATATGAAGTTTCAGCAAGAAATATCGCACAAACACTGTTGAAATGACTCTTGCAAATCAGTATTTGTGGCTTTTGGCTGTACATGTATATCAGAAGTTGGCTGCTATATTTTGCCTTTTTCGAAAATCGAAATTTTCGGCAAAATAAATCCGGCGCGAATTGGTTAACAGCCGAATTAAAAAAAGAAAAGAAGCCATGATATCTGGACCAGTTCTGATGCAAATAACTGCAGATCCCAAAAGCCGACTTCCATGACAATAGAACATATTTAATAATCGATACTTGGGAATAGTATACATTTCCTTACACATCATCTGTAAACAAGAAAATAATTAATAATAAATGTACATTGAAATACATGTATTTACCAATTTACATAAAGTATGGATATACACAGAGTCTTTTCATAGCCGCAAGTGTAACGTTCGACACTGCATAGTGGACATGAAGATTACGGCTGTGTCCCAATTACGTGGCTGCGGCTAACAGCAACACATGCATCATTGGGAAATGGATTCAGCCGCTTCCATAGGCAACTGTATTATTGCTAGCCACAGCCAAAATATTCAGATACAGCCTACATGTACAATAATCAATGATGTGCTTGTTAGATAGGTTTCATTTACTATCAGCAATGTCGTAAGTTTTAGGAGTTCTCGTCAGAAAAATGTTTTTCTCCGAAACCTGAGGATGCCATGTTTTATTTTATGATAATAACCATGTTTTCGTAAAAACGGGGGGAAAATGAAGACTTGTTTTGAACGAACTTCAGAAAAACAAATGACATTACCTTTTATTTATTTAAATTAAGTGTGATTATCACTGTCCATCAAATGTTTATCAATGGTATATTACAATGTACAAATATGATTTTATGGTTTTGTCCCAATGCTTCAACATTTCATGGAAATAATGATCCAAATATGATCGTTTTCCATAAACTATGCATATATATAAAAAGATATAAAAACTTTTGTTCCCTTTTTACTTAACCGTTTGCATAGAAAACAACTTGAAGCAGTTACGAATGTACAGTTGAACATAGAAATGGTTGGTCCAATATGCAACACACATTTAGTCGAGTTTCATACAAAAAAAAAATGTTTTAAGAAAACAAAATTTGTGATTGATTCTGGAATTCATAAAATAGAAAGTTGCATTGTTACTTAATAACCCTAACTTTCTTGGCATGTTTATGTTAAATTAAAACCCACCAACATCTAACATTGTGAAGAAACCAAAATACTATACAACTTAATATTATAAGCAAACAAATGATAAAGCCCGATATGAACTAATGGGTTGTATTGTCTTTAAAGGTAATATACTACATCTGCTTTTGCTGTAATTTTCAGAAATGGATGGATTTTGGGGGCTAGTAGTTTATAGCAAATATTGTTACACAGACCTGTTTCAAGTTTTGTGTTCATAAATGCTGGAAAAACTTAGGGGAAAAAAGCTGTTCTTGTAGTCTGGTTCCCTGACCCAACTTCAGACAAAACGAAGCAATTTAAAGATATCGGTGAATTGTCAGGTCAGGGAACCAGACTAGCTGGCTTGCACCCGTTCACAGAGTGTAACCGATAGCAAACAAAATGTGGACCAACTAAATTGGAAATCGTTGGAAATTGACCTTTTTTTGAAAATGACATCACACCATGTGCCATGATTTCACAGGATGCTTGAGACTATTATTTACTTAGTCAAGTAAGGAATGAATTTCATAATAATTTAGTAGTTTTACTTTTTTGAAGTTTGCAAATGTTGTATATTACCTTTAATCCATAAAATCCGTGCGAATCTTAGGGGTGGATTGTGACGGATTTGTAGCACTATTATTGTGAGTTTGGGACTAAATGTATACAGTCGAACCCTGATAAGAACAGCACCGTTAATACAACGTCCTGCTTATAACAAGCAAAATGTTAGGTCCCAAGTCTTTGTTTTTCTTTGTTTTCCATTACTGTTAATACAAGGTACCTGTTGTACATAAGAAGAAATTTTGCGTCAAGGTGATGTAAATCAAATTAGGTTTTGCCCTTCAGACCAGCGATGTATAAACACTGTATACTCAGTGTGTTACCTCCCGAGTGAAAGTTGGAAAAAAATCACTCGGGTGGGACTCAAATCCACGACCTCGTTAGCTCGATGGTCGAGTGGTAAAACATCTGCACTAGAAAGCAGGAGGTCGTGGATTTGAGTCCCACCCGAGTGATTTTTTCCAACTTTCACTCTGGAGGTAACACACTGAGTATACAGTGTTTATATGTCGCAGAAGGGCTAAACCTAATGTGATGTACCTGTTATTACAAGGTAATTTGTAAAGTCCTAAGGACCTTGTTATAAAGGTGTTCGACTGTAAATGTTTTTTTTTGTTGCTGTTCCGAGAGGGGCCGGCCTAGAGTCCTCTTTGCACTTGTACCTGACCGACTCACTGACCGACTCACTGTCACTTTTACATAAGACTTGCATAAGTTCCACCTTGGCCCAGTCCAAAACAGGATTGCCCTGAAAAAAATGCCAATGACTGGGCTCAATCCGTCCAATTGTGTACGCCACGTACATGAAGACTTCCAGTGAGTGGCCATTTTTAATCGATTGAATAAAATTGTGTGTACTCTGGGACCAGCTTTACTTGCCTTGTCTCGTTTTTTTGGTTTACTCTTTTCCAATTTAATGAAACCTGTACAGATTTGAAAAAGTTCATCACATAAACCACAAATAAAACTGTCATCTCAAAAACATTCTTTTGGGGAGAAAACTCTGGTGTTTTTGAAACCAGGGCTTTGGATGAAGCGTTTCGTCTCTGCTTTTGGCTTCATCCAAAGCCAAAGTTACAAATGAAGCCATGTTTTAAAAAACCCATAATAATAAGCTCTGGCAGTCAATTAAAAAAAACCCTAATTGGTCAATATGGAATGCTTGGTCCATTTTGGAGTTAGATACTTGAATACTAATAATACTATTACTGTTTGTAAAAGTCAATGCGCAGAATTGCCCCCCCCCCTCATCCCGAAATGATTTGCATGTTCAAAGGGAAAAAGGTTACCTAACTAAACTTTTTCTGCTTTTCTGGTTAGAAGCTCAATGAAAAATCAACGCTAAAATAAGGCTTGGAAAACTCCCCAAAATAGCAACATATGGAATGTATTGGAGAAACAAATAACAAATCAGTGATTAAAAATTTTGTTTTTGTCATAATGACACTCTTTTGTTCTGATTTACATGAGTGAATATTAAGGGTGTAACAGTGGAAGAATGTTGCATGTACAGAAAGCCTCCCTTGTTTTATATAACGTGCTGCAGAAGTACAGCGAAAGAAAATCGTGGAATTACAAACATACATGTACACCTATGGTTAAATTTCATTTTCAAATGGCCATGTTGATGATAAAAAAAAATGTGCTTGAACTATGTAATGCCTCTCACAACTTTTTATAAACCCTCGATAAAACTACTTCCTAATTTTCTATTTTCTTTTTTTTTTGCATAGATATTGATATAGTCCTATATCATGTACAAATAATTTTTATATTACATGTTAAACTAGCACCTCGTCACCAATAAACAAATATATAAATTCTACGGAAATAAACGTTTCACAAATACCCAACACTGATTGCTTATCACTTTTTTTGTACACATATCTCAAAACTAATTACCAGTGATACATCAAAACCAAATAGACACAAAGACTACCAAAACAAAAATTATCAAAAACAAAAAAAAAGTAGAAAAATAAAATCAGTAAACAGTGCCGTTCTGAAATGGCCGATTAGGGCTATGTGGAAGACTTTTCTGAAATCAGAAAGTGGCAGTAATAAAAACTATCAAGCTGAAATCACAGCCAAAAAGACGAATAACAAATTGTTATGGGCTCCGTGAACAAGTACCCCCCCCCCCCCCAACGGTAAGAACAGGAGTGTTTAGGGAAACCACTTGGACTGATTTTCAAACGCATTCCCGATGTCGCTTGACGCTCACGTGAAGACACTACGGCTTTTGACATATTCATAATAGAATTCGTCATGCGTACTTCGCGCTATATACGCGCGGACAAATCGGTGCAATCGGTGTGTCACATCGGGGCTCTCGAAGGTGGTACAAGACCCTCTCTTGTTCGCGCACTAATGCTCAAAGAATCTTAAGTCTCTTAAGCAAGGAATGTTTGTTTTTGTCTTTGATAAAGCAAAGGTTTCAGCCATGCTGCTTTAAGAACTGCACCATTTTGTCCATTCTTACCGTCTTCAAATTTCTTACATCCAGATCCAAACAATATCGAAACTCTGCATTGCCGCGTCAACAAATGTTCCGAAGTGGTGTTTTTTCAAAAAAAGTTTAAATGTGTGCTCCCAACGGCCTCCAAAAATGACACATAATAATGCAGGTAATAGTAATACTGATATAGTAGAATTACGTCTTTTGTACACTGTCATTTTTTTTCTTCAAATTTCAGCGACTTTTCCCTGTTGTGTGACTGCTGACTAGAGGCAACAACGAAAATCAGAATCTGAGATTGACGGGATAAACATCAAACAAAAACAAATGTCTAACAATTTCATAATTTGGTGTCATTATTGCATATATAACATTGATTGTTATTTGAGGGTTTCCCATAGAAATTTGGGGCTGAGTGTATTATGGCAAACCTACACCCTCTTTGTCATTTTGCATCTGAAATTTATGCGAAAAGAGTGCAACGTTCTGATTCATCTATGGAATGTTTGGCTCTTGCAGTCTACTCACACATAAAAGTTGCCGTGACATAAACTGTCAATATCAGACTCTGGTGGAAATTTTGAAGTGACACTAAAGTCTGAAGCGTTTGCTTCGTGTTTTTGAGTTGGAAGCACTTTTATGGCAGCATGTCCACACTGTGGCCATTTTGGTATTGTTTCTGGAAGACGTGGTTAAAGATCACACTGTCTGAAGTCGACCCGTGACAGGTACCAGTCTGACCAAGGCACTGGGGAATGTCCACACTCTGCATCAGTAATACGTCGCATCCACTGCAAAAATATCATCAACATTGTTTGTACTACGTCCAATCAACTTCACAAAACACTGCCCGCGCATTTTGTTACAATGTCCTTTACACAATTGTGTTCACCTTAATCTTTGTGCGTCATTTTTCCTCCAAGAACAACCTTGCTTCTCATTCCTGCAAAGCTTTCTGCTCTTGGAAAAACTTTTCACTGTGTCTATCGAGCACAATACTTGCATAGACTGGAAGCTGCTGCAATTATTCATGGCCATTCCAAAGCCCACTATGAGTCACTTGAAAATCTGTGATGCTCTCCTCAGGTTTGGGGCATGTAAGGTTGCTGACTGTCTCTCACCACAGGTGGGGAACCAACGAAAGGCGGCCTCATATGGAACGGAAAGTGTGGAGGGAAGAACATCTCACGTCGCATCATTTGCTCGGGGCTCAGTGGCATCCCAGGAGGTAGACTGGTTGGAAGGAGGTCGGGCCGGGTTAACAGGGGTCCCGGCATGAACTGAGGGGGAAAGAATCTGGGATGGTAACCCATCATGGCCGGCAGGTGGGGGTTGAACTCTGGAAAGACGAATTGGCTCTTTGGTTGCTTGTCCGAGGGCACGCCCTGCATGCTGGGGTGGGGTAAGTACGGGAAGGCTGGCGGATGGGGCGAAGCGGCTGCTTCGTTGGAGCCAGTGCTGTGCCGCGAGGGGGTGTCCCTGTGGAGCTCAGAGGATTTGGAAGAGTAGGAGGAAGGACTGAGGGCACTAGGGTTGATGACCCCTTGCATGATGGATCCCCGTGGGTTGGGGGTCATCTTAACCTTGTATTGTGATGACACAGAGGAGGCAACTGCCACATCATCCTTGTATTTGGTCCCACTCTCTTCATGCCATCGAGTTCTATCCTTGCTGGATTCCCCGTACTTCCTGGAGGACCTATGCTTGTTGGGATGGGAGGTAGTATCCCTTTTTGTTGCAGGGGCTTCATCCTCCCCGCATTTTCTTTTGGGCATACTCAAATCACAGGGCTCCTCCTGGAAGGGTACAGTGGCGGGTAATGTCGGGTAAGAAAGGGGCGTCACTTTGCCCAAACGGTCCACACGGAAGCCATGGGGGCTGAGTGGTCGACTAATGTTCTCTTTGCCTGATTCAGTTCTTCTGCGTTTGCTGCCTACTTCCAGTTTTGTCTCTGCTTTTGGCTCCTCAGTATTTGGCTCCGTTTTGCTACTGCCCACCATCATTGGCATGGGAATGTATGCCATGTAAGGGTTGACAAATCGTGGAGTGACCACCACTGCATCTTTGGGGAGATCGGAGAGTTTCTGGCCGACCACTGGCGCACTTGTCGTAGCACTTGTTGATGCTGCTGCAGCTGCTGCAGCTGCCGTCGCCGCTGCCTTTTCGTGAGAGAGGTTCCGAAGAATCAGATCACTGGGCTGGACGGCATTTCTGTAGGTTGGTGAGGTCATCCCTGTCTCTGGAGTCTGTGCCTGGACATGCTGTGTGTGTTGGATGACTGATGGCCGAGCAGACGCAGTATCCTTGCCGCTGGTCAATGCACTGCCAGGACCAGGTGAATGAGGTGGTGGCTTCATTGGGTTAACCACTGCCGTTAACGAGGTAGGCGCACTGCCAGCTATGCCCACATTATGTGGATACGACCAGCACACATTGGTTGCACTGGCAGTGCTGTGGTCTGAATCAGCCGCGGAAGTGTTCGTTGTGCCCTGCACCGACCCTGGCGCAGCACTATCTCTTAATGTGGATGAAGGTGTTGGTACCTGCATGACCTGCAGCGGCTGTCCCACGTGCAAGACAGTGGCCATGTTGGAGTTGAAAGTTAACGACGCGGCAGTGGTTGACGTCAAGCCCGAGGACCCTGCAACGTCCTCCGTTTTGATGGAGGAGGAGCTAACAGCTGGACCGCCCCCCGGCAGCATCTGGGGTAACGTGAAGATCAGTGGACCCACAGGCATGCCCTCCTCTGTCTTTACCATGATGGGTTGGCCTGGGAAGGGGATGGGAATGGCTGCGGTGGATAGGGGAGGCTGGGTGGGGTTGCCAGCTGTGCTGCTGGTGACGCTGTACGATGGAGTCTTCTCAGCAGCGTTGGCAGCCTGACTGGCCTTCTGCTTAGCCTGCATCTTAGCCTGGTGGTTCAGGATATCTGCAATGGACAGCGTCTTCTTTCTGGCAATAGGTGGTGTGCTCAGCTGAAGTGAGTTGGCATAGAGCTGTGAGTAGAAAATAACGTCTCATATTATTTTGCTGAATACCTCCTAAGCAGGTCAATTGGCAGAACAGACATGAACAAATGTGAGACACATCATAAAGAGTATTACACAGACAGTGAAAATGACAATGACATTGGAAATACACCATAGTAGCCATACTAACCTGATTGTTAGCTGCCTTCTGCTGCATTGCCCGTTGTTCCCCCAGCTCCCGTAGCTGATCCTTGAGCACCTTGGGGCGTTTCTTCTCCTTGTGTCGCTTGTTCAACTTCAATTTCATCTTCAGTGGGGGCTGCGCTGAGGAGGAGGATGCTGACTCCTCTCTGGGCACAATCATCATCTCAACGGAAACGGGCAATGGCAGATGTGCACGGGTAGGAGCCTGGGGTTGAGCAGGTGGCGGGAAGCTGGTTATCGGTGAGCTGACGGGCACCGATGATGGAGCATTTGGCATCATGCTGGATGCCGTCTGTGAGCTGGACACTTCGACTTCACGGATCAAAGACTGGGGCTGCTCTCTGCCCACCGGTTTGATGGGTACCGGGGTCAGGATTGTCTGGTGAATAAGACCGGCTGCTACTGCATGCTTCTGCCGGTCTCGGATCCACGTCTCCTCGGCCTTGGTCATCCCTTTGGGCCGGTCCTTGGAGTGGTGCTTGTCCTTCTTCTTGTGGTGCTTGTTTGGGTCCTTCTCCTTGTGCTTGCTTGGCTTGGCCAGGATGGAGATGCCCTTGGTGGGGTTGGTGGGCGGTGGCTGGCCTGGAAGGGGCTTGTGCTCCTGCTTGTTGAGATACCGCTCGTAGGGAAGAATTAACCTGCGTGCAACAAAAACAGCGCAGATGGCAATGATTTGATTTCTCTTCTATTCTCCTGGAATGTTTCTCTCATTTCTGTTCAACGGTATTTTTACCTGTAAAGATGAACTTGTTATTTTGTTTTAAACATTGAAACAATCATGCAACACTTTAAAATTTCTATAATGCCAAAATGAAAATAAAAGATTTTGGAAATACCTCTCGTAGTGTCTTCTCGTGCAGGTTGCCGCACTTGTGCTGCCAACGCTACCACCTAAGACGTCGTATAGTTTCTTCCACAGTCGCCGAGCCGTGATGGCTTCATAGCCGCCAAACTTCTGGCCCATGGTGTAGAACAGGAACAGGTCGACTAGAGGAGGCAATGCAAGAAAAGGGTCCTTCATGAAGTTAGCTATTCTTAAAGAGGTTGTGGAATGCTCGAAGACATTTTTGTCATTTTTCGGGTATATGTAGCCTAAGGTGTGATGAAATAAAAACGACTATTGTTTCTGTCATATAATGAGTACAAAAGGTACTTTTGAGAGCTGTTTTTCAAGTCCTGTCATGCCTGTTTCGACCCGAACGTGCAATTTGTGTAAAAGTCGTCGTTGCGGGTAGCAAACAAAACACAGTAAATCGTGACGTAATAAACAGGACTCCCGATGCACGTTCGGGTCGAAACAGGTCCTGAAAAATAGCTCTCAAAAGTACCCTTTGTACTCATTTCATGACAGAAACAATAGTCGTTTTTATTTCATCACACCTTAGGCTACATATACCCAAAAAATGACGGAAATGTCTTCGAGCATTCCACAACCTCTTTAAAATTACCAGTGTTACCAGGACAAGGAATTTAGCAATGTAATGTGCACCCCACCAGATGAGAAGATGTGAACTCTTTTAAGATTTGAAATGCATTCTTAAAGCATCAGTTGATGTAAATGCTTCACTTCTGAACAATAATGAGTGGTCCTCCCTTCCCCATAACTTGGCATCACAAACTGAAAACCAAGACAGAGAAAAGATATTTGTTTTCTCTTTTGAAATAGTGTAGTGTTTTTGTCGAGTCTAACACAAGTTCATTTCAACAGCGTGTGACTTGACTTGAAAATGGACGACTTGCAAAGGACTTGGGATGACTTGTAATGCACGTGGGACTTCCGCCACAGAGCCATATTAGATTACCAGAGCGCTAACTTGCCGCACGCAATGTAGCCTGCTCCATGCATCCACTTTTGTGCACTAAATTCGAGCTCAAAATTTTGTATGGCTTTCGTAAAGCTATTTGTGTGTATCTGCGTTTGTATTCGAAACCAATGCGCAAATGAACCCAATACACGCAAGACTGAAACCAACATTGAGTGTTTCTTTTCGCTCTGCACACATGTACGTATACGTGTGCATATGCTGATTATTTTTTCATAGTAAAGAAACTGCGCCAATGCAGTCGCATCTCATGTATTCTCGGATTCCATTTAGATTAGAGCTCACCAGTGATATTTCATTACACCTTTTATTATGGGGCACTGTGGCCCAATGGTTACGGTGTTCGACTCGTGTGCCGTGGTACATGGGTTCGAACCCTGACAGGGAACACATATGGTTTTGTTCTTGGGCAAGGCACTTAACTACGATTGCCTCTCTCCGCCCAGGAGTATAAATGGGTACCTGTGAAGGTAGAGACCAAATTGCGCTGATCTCGAGCTACTGCAGAAAAAAATATGGTCTCATTCCTGATAAACATGGATAATAATTGTGATGCGCATTTGATCTTATTGTTATGGCATTTGCGCAATATAAATATATAAATTATTATTTTTATTTTACACCTAATTTCAATATCAAGGAAAAGGAAAATTGAGGTGCTGTGGTCCAATGGTTACGATGTTCAATTCGTGTGCCGTGGTACATGGGTTCGAATCCTGACCGTGGGAACATGGTACTTGTGCTCTTGAGCAAGGCACTTTACCATTATTGCTCCGTCCTTCGGATGGGACGTAAAGCCGTAGGTCTCGTGTGTTGTGTAATGCACGTTAAAGAACCCAGTAACTCTTATCGCTAAGAGAAGGGGTTTGCCCCGGTGTTTCTGGCAGTGGCTGCAATATGCGCCGCAGCACCTCGTAAACCCTTATAAGGTGCTACATAGTGGGTCTCATATTTCTCATAAAACTTCATTTACCTGTCTTTAATAATAGACATAATTTCCAGCGCCTTGAGTACCTAATTGTTGGTAGATACGTGCGCTATATAAGACTCCGGTAATAATATAATATAATATATAATAATATTAATATTCATAATGTCTGTGCCCAGGACACATCCATAATTTAATATAGCTGTATGACTTGAACACTGTTGTAGAACTGGCCAGTCCAACTCACTCTGCTTGAAGCCCAGATTGGGCACCCGATCGATGGGGCTGTTGCGGTCCTTCATGAACTTGAAGAGGCCGGCCAGGAAGGTGGCCTCGTCCTTGGGCCGGACCCGCTTGACCTCAGTCTTGACCTTGCCGTTGACTATCTTGGTCTGGTACTTGCCTCGCAGCTTCTTCCGCTCCAGCTTGCTGAGCTGATGGATGTTGAACTCCTTGTAATTCACCTGGGAGAGAAATTGGTAGGTTGGGGGGAGGGGGGGAAGGGGTGATTTTTTTGTCAGATTAATTGATATTTATAATCTTTGATATGTCTACTACACCCATTTAATGAAATACATGTAGTATAAAAAATTGTGGAATAAAAGTATTTTTAAGGAAAAACAATTGGCATCTTCCATTTTTATGACTACAAACGCGAAACTTTAACAGCCTTTTTCTCAGTTTTTTACTCTTTTAACACATTGATAAATGCGAACTTTAAACAGCCATTATTTGTCAACGGAATATCCGACTGAAGAGCAACAAATAGCACTGCAAGGAGAATTTTATTCTCTTGCCTAATCCGCTCCGTTCACAAGTACCCCCTCACCAGCAAAGAAAGAACAGTTGGGGGTGACCGAACGACGCCATCTTGCCTGACTGCAATATTTTGCTGCGAAGCTCAGCCACTGCGTGTACACAGTAGAAATCCCCTGGTGCACGTGCGTCACACACAAGGAACGGTGCACGCGTCAACCAGCGAAATGTATGTGTCCCGCCAATGGGACGTCGTTGATAGGTAAAAGGGCACCCTCTTTTGTTGGCGCACGGAGCCCATACCCGCAAACCCTCATTTGGACCTCTGCCCAGTTTTGTCTCATTTGCCAGAACGCCTCACATATTTTCAGTGTAGGATTTCCAAGATTCCTGTCTTGTTTTTTTTTTCTGAGACAAAATTTCCAAGATTCCCATCTTGGTTTTTTTTCTGAGACAAAATTTTCATGATGACCAAAAAAACCCAAATTCACCCTACCTCAGCATGCTCAGTTGCGTCATTGCTTGAGTCACCAAATACATCTTCGTTGCTGTTGCTACGTATACTGAGTTTCTTCTTTCTCGGTCTGCCTTTCATGTTTGGCGCTGTCAGAAATTAGGAAAATAAGAAATACCCCATAATATGATTAAATTTACAACAACAAAAACCCTATAATAAGGATAAATTAAATAAGGGATATAAAACTATGCTGTTCAATTTCTAACCTAATGAGAAAAAAAGTTGTTGACAATTTACGCTCTAGTACACATCTCGGAGTATCAAAACATATGAGGTTTCTGCAAGAAAAATCGTACAAATACTGTTGAAATGACTCTTGTGAATCAGTTTTTTTGGCATTTGGCTGTACATCAGAAGTTGGCTGAAAATATTTGCCTTTTGCGAAAATCAAAATGTTCAGCAAAAATAATCCCCACCGCAAAGTGGTTAATAATGCTTCAAGGTATTTCCATAATTATGCGCAGGGTTGTTACATGTACCGGTAGCTTCCCTTGTCAACTCACCTAAGTGGTCACACAGTTTCTCATTGAACCCCAACGTCGGGTGGTCAAACTCGTCCTTGCAGAACATGACGCGGGTGTTGCGGTGCGGCACCGTGAAGGCCCCGAGGGTCCGGACCAGGATGTGGGAGATCCACTCCTCCTGCGCATGCTCAATGCGCTTCAGGGCTCCGCAGTAGCGGCAGTAGTTGGGGTAGTTGAGGATGATGACCTTGTCGCGGCCGTCGTCGTCGTAACCTGTGGATGTGCCCCGGGCAGGAGGCGGAGCATAGAAAGGAGGGGGATGTTAAAACCGCTTGAAATGGATTGAATATACATTTAAACCTGCCAAATCTGGTCGCTTCACTACTCCAAGGTGGCTACTTCCATACTGGGCAAACTTCCCACGTGTGACAAGATATTGTTCCCATACAAAGGCATACACTTCAGCCTTTGTACTGCCCCAAACCGGCCTGGCTGTTACTCCTCAAACCGCCTTGAACGGCCCATGAGCAGCACTCTAATGGTTTTATTGACTGATGGAGGCGTAAATACAATGTAATAAAAATTTAATGCCGGTACAAGAGCTGTGGCCTAGTGGGGAGTGTGTGGCCTAGTGGTTAGGGTTCGTGACTCATGATCAGAGGGTCCGGGGTTCGAATCCAGCCGCTGGTCATATATTGTGTCCTTGGGCAAGGCACTTCACCCCCACTTGCCCCTCTCCACCCAGGAGTATAACTATAAGTGGGTACTGGCATTAGCTGGGGAGTAACTTGCGATGGACTAGCATCCCATCCAGGGGGGAGTAGAAATATTCTCATGCTACTGAAACCGGAGATAAACGCCGGCCTGATGAGCCACATTGGCTCAGGACAGACTTTAAGTGAAAGGGTCAATGATCCAACACAAGTGCTTATATTAAAACATTTCCAAAGTACCGGTACCCTCGGTACATTTACAGAACAAATTTCACTGTTACAAACAAAACAGGATCTACAGATTAAAGTTGGGTATTTAGTGATATGCCAATGCTTAGTATTATAACATTTGGGAGCAAAATTGGGAAGTTTGTAAATCATAACAGCCAAATGCTTAGTGTTTGTTAATGTTAACACACATATACATGTACACGTACCGGTAGTATTGTACTAAAGTTACAATTAATAAGAATTTGGCCAAGGGAGTACAAAATTGGCATAAAAAAAATGTCACTTCTTGGACAATGTGGCAAATTGAGAGAACAAACAACAAAGCAGCAATTTAGTTTTTAATTTGATGAATTTTTTTAGTGGACAACAGGCAGACTGTGGTCAGAATTTAATACTGGACAATAGTTTTGTATAAATCTCCCGGATAGACATTTAATAAACCCTTTTGTGCGTTCATTGTAAACACACACAAAAAGCTGACACATACGGGAATTATTAATTAGTCCTACATGTATGTGTTTTTTAATTATTTTTATTTTATTTTTTTTTGTGGGGGGGGGAAGGGGGGTTAAATCCTAGAAATTATGTACATGTAGGACACATCACACATACTTTTATAAGAAAATAACTTAAATAAGACAATTCTTGCAATTTTTTTTCATGGTACATGTAAATGCATGGAGGAGGGCTATTAGTTTTATAGCTCCATGGTTTTACTACTACTAGGGAAGTAAAAGTTGTGTTGACTCATCTATTGCTTGCCCCACGGCGGGACTTGATCACCAAATATGGCCTAAACGTACATGTACAACAGGTGTCTGCACATCATATTACACACAGTTGGCATTCCTGTCATATACCACCAACACATTACACACACATAATCAGGGCACCTCATCATAATGAAGGAAGCATAAAATTACAATGTGCAACCCAGAGTTATTTCCTTTGCTTTATGGCCAGTTTCCTGACCATTCCAGATGACTAAACAAACATACATGTACAGACCATGGGATATCCTATTAATTGTCCTGTTGCTCATACGTATGCAGTGGCATTTCCTACAATTGTACTGGCATGTAAAATTTAAAAAAAAAATAAACGGCAAATTATAAAGTACCAAGGTATAAAACACTAAACAGGGACAGGAAAATGCCACATGTTGGACCCTAAATATATACAGGGTGAGTAAAAAAAAAAGCGGAACCCAAACCCCAACAATTATATTCCAAATTTCAAAAATATGTAGCACCAAAAAATAAAAGATGACTGGAAAGTCAATTTCATAAGCTACTTTGGGATACAAAAATTACTAAAACTGCTCAATCCGTTCAAAGAATATGACCATTTAAACACAATGACCCTAAAACCTCTTTCGTCCAAAACTACGATTTCAAGAATCGTCGTCACAATGGTCTTTAAACATCACCAGCGATAAAACCTTCAGTTTAATAGTTTAAAACATGTGCTTTTGAAGGCCCGTCTTTTAAAAAAAGTGGATTTTATAAATCATATTGTTTGCCTATAAATCAGGGTAATTGAGTACTACAGTTGTTGACAGCTGTTGAAACAAGTATTCTGTGTCATTTTCTTTGTTGCTCCAAACAGTCAGAATACACAATAAATTGCTTGTTTTTGGACGAAACAGGTTTTAGGGTCATTGCGCTTAAATGGTGATATTCTTTGAATGGATTGGGCAATTTCAGTAATTTTTTCATCTGAAAGTAGTTTCTGAAATTGGCTTTCCAGTCATTATTATTTTGGTGCTACATATTTTTTTAAATATGAAATACATTTTTGGGGGTTTGGGTTCCGCTTTTTTTTTGACTCACCCTGTAGAATGACCCATCTGTATTTTTGCTACATGATAATTGTAATGACTTACTTACGTAAAGATTTGCTTTTTAAATTTTGCTCACCACTCTCCAGAATTAAAGGGCCAGTGGAAAATAAAACAAAACCTGTCAGTATTTTATGTGTTCTTTCCACCCCCACCCTCAAGCATACCAGTGAAAAATGTACAAAAATGGTTATCAACCATGTAGGCTCAGCTGTGACAGACGAACAGGTGTTTTTTGTTGGGGGGGGATAATAAAGTCAGGAAAAATTATGAAACCGAAATTAGGAAGCAGTTCATGGGGTCTTCAAGTATGTATTGCTGATGCAGTCTTTTAAAAGGACTCTAACTACATGTAACAAAGATAAATGAACAGTGTTAGTCATTTCTGGGTGAAAATTATTAACTTTTTTTCATTTAAAAGAAAATAAATATTGAGCCAATGGTGTAATGATTCAAACCTTTCCCCTAAAACTTTATGGATGGTTAAAAAAAAAGGATGGTTGAGAAAAAAGGGTAAAATGAAGCAGAAATGGTCATTTATTTAAACTCGGGCAATTTACCAGTATGTTTTTATCAAATACTTTTGACTTAACTTTCACTGCAGGCATGCAACTGGGAATTTAGAAAAACGAGGAAATTCCAAACCACACCAGACTTTGTACACTGTTTTTCAATTTGTAATGGCATTCATGAGAAGTGAAAAACGAGGATATCAGCGGATCCGAGGAAAAGTTGCATGCCTGACACTTAATAGTTGGAAATAAACCTAATTTAGTTATGATTCTCACCCATGATCTGCTTCTCTTTGTTGATATCGCTGACATTAAGCCCGCTGTTCTGGGCAAACAGCGCCACCTGTTGGTGGCCGGCATTGATGTGGCTGTCCTGCTTCTTGAGGTCTTTCTCGCATATCGTCCGGCAGCCGCGGCTCCACCTGACGTCAGTGCAGACCCAGTCAATCAGGTCCTCCAGTCTGACGATGGCCTTGCCGCTCACTCCAACAACCTCATCCTAAAATTAGAAGAAGAAAAAAATCAGTTGTAAATATCAAAAGACGGCTTTAATTTCCCCTCCCATTCAAACTCATACAGGAAAAGCTACATCACGGGAGATTATCTGAGAATTTCGAAGCCACACATTTCAAAAGATCTACTGTCCATGTTATTTTTTAACAAATTCCCAAAACGTTATTTTTTTCCCCTTCAATCCACCGGTAGCAGGATTCTGCGCTATGCGCGGCACCCGTTAGCTGGGTGGAGTATACATGTATATGTATTACTTTGACCTCAATTTGCATATTGACGCCCAAGTGGACATGGTAAACCTTGGTGAAGCAATTTTGCCACATTTTTCATCATCAACCTTATGTTTTGCGTAATAGCGATACGTTTTTGGAGTGTTTTCACAGAGATAATCTTTTAAAATTTAAAGTCTCAAAGAAACAAATTTGCCAAAAAAAGCGAAACAAAACAAATACATCATTTTTTTCAAGTGCCAACTGCGACTTCAGAGGACACTGAAATCGGAGCATGTATATATTTAAGGACCTGCATACACTGGATGACTACATATTCAGATTTTGTGCTTACAAAAAACGAGACACAAAGACATCAGACTGACAGACAGACATCAGACAGTGTTGGATCTTTTAATATAGGATGCTATTTTTCTAGCAATACAAGTGTTATTCACTTGTGAATGAGACTTCGAACAAAAAAAAATTCATACCACATTTTGTAATTGATAAAATTATTTCACAAATCTAAATCCTCATCACAGCTGTTTAAAGCTCAACCCTTTCAGATCCATCATAATCTTTTAAGAGGTTTCACAAAATGTTTTATTGCGAGATTCGGGAGGGTTACATTTTCACCACAGAGCTTCTACATGTACATAAATGTATGTACCGGTATTTATACTTTAAACGGGTCCCACTCAACTTTAATACTCAAATAACAAAGAGTGGGCCTTTGGATTTACGGTGGAGAATAGAATTTCGGAGGTTTATTTTTATTTTACCAAAAATATGATACAGCCCAAGTTTGTGACAGTTCTATCAGAAAAGTCAGGCTACCCTAAACATACTTTTTTTGGCCAAGGTTAAAATTTAATTCACACATTTAGATAAGACTTCTGCAAATAAAACAGAACCAAATAAAACAGAAGTTTAATGTCCAATCTTTTGTTCACGGTTATTTACACTGTTTTAGTTCAATATGGAAATTCATTTGGGAGAAAATTAATTTGACATCTTCAGAACCCAGTGATTCCAAATCGTTACAAATAAAAAAACCTCAAGCACTGCTGTTTTCCTGTTTGATATTTTCATGTACATCCCCCCATCTGTACAACAGACCATTCATTTACATGGATGGAAACTGCCTTATCAATATATGCAGTAGATAAAAAACAGGTCATCAATTTCCTGTAATGTTTTTATAATCATAACAAATGTGTCAAGGCATAAGTGGATGTACGTGTAGTTAACGACCGTAGGCTGTTGCAACATTATAGACAAGAAGTGCATATTCATATTTTTCCAATCAACATGATTTGTTTTTGATAAATGCTTTTAGGAGTAAATTTTTGATGTACCAAAGTAACAAAAAAGAGAGAGTACATGTACATGTAGTTAATGCCAATAGCAAGTTTTTTTTAAACATATGTAATAAAATGTTAGTTTCCACATTTCCTTCAGTTAATTAATTAATTAGAAAATTATTTGTTAAGGATAAATGTTGTGCAGTTGTGAGTAAAACTACCAGTAGTCTTATCTTTTTTTCTTCACACAAATTAACGTTGGAAAAAGTACCTGTACATGTATGTACTGGTATATTTTCCCCTTTAACAATCAGGAAAAGTATTTCTTTCAGTTGCACTACCCATGCTATTCAAGTTTCATCTTCCCCAAAAAACAAACTTCTTTTTGTCAATTGCCGTTTTCCTCACAATACAAAAGTTTCACTTTTGAATGAGAAACCAAAAGATGCACCAACGATTTAGTTCTTGACAAATTTCAAATAACTTGCAGTCCGACAATAATTCCATTCTAAACAGGGCAGGCTAGTTTACCCAGCTCCTTGGTTTTTTTTCTTCAGACAGTCGCAGATGCCCCCCCCCTCAAAAAACAAACAAACAAACAAACAAACAAACACAACAAAAACAAAACAAAACATCCCCCCCCCAAAAAAAAAAGGAAAAAAGAAAGGATTGTTTAGTTGGAATAAAACATACAAGTTCAAAATATATTAAGAGAAAAAAATGTTTGTTGAAGAGCAAGAGTAACACAACTTTACTGACAAAAAAAACCACAAAAATGGGTTAACCCTTTAAAACTTGTATTACATTGTATCACATTATAAATTACATTGTATCACATTGTAAATTACTCCTCCATGAATCAATAAAAACCATAGAGTGCTGGGACAGAGTGAGACTGCCAGTCTGAGGAGTTTAAAGGGAATATACAACATTTGCAAACATCGAAAAATAAAACTATCAAGTTTTTACGAAATACCTTACTTGGATGTTTGTAAATGACAGTCAAAAGCATCCTGTAAAATTATGGCTCCTGGTGTGAAGTCATTTTCAAGAAATTGGTATTTTTGTATACATTTCCAACAGTGGTCGGCCGATCACCGTTGGAAAAACCTAACTATTTTTCAACTTCTGCTTCAAATTTACCATTTTTTCAGTCCAAATTTTGTTTGCTATTGGTAACATAGTTCATGAACGGGTGCAGGCCAGCTACACTGGTTCCCTTACCTTACAATTTTCCGGCATCTATAAATTGATCCATTTTATCCTTAGTGGAGTCAGGGAACCAGACTACTTGAACATTTTTCGTTTTCTTGGTTTTTCCAAGGTTTTGTTCTTGGTTTTTTCAAACATGGCAGTGTTACAATATTTTTATCTATTATACTAACCCTTCAAGTAGTTCATTTCTGAAAATTACAGCAAAAGCCAATGATGTACATTCCCTTTACATGTAACAGGCAGGGCAGTTTAGGGCAATTCAAGAGCTAATGGCTGATGAAAGCAAGATCAATAGAGGCCTTCATTAATTCCAACTGCAACTTCAATTCCTCCTTATTTTCTAAGAGTACGTGCATGAATTTCCAATTTATCAAGGACTGGAAAAAAATGTCAGTCCTCGGAGTAAACACACTTGCACACATACCGGTACTGTCTAATTTTAGAAATGACAACATTCCGGTTAAAAACCCCCAAATCTTTGAAACAATTTGTGTTATGATGCAAGACAGTTTTAAATCACTGAACATCCCCATGTGCAAAAATGTAATCTCCCCAGTCAGTAGTATTATTATTATATGATCACATTACTATAAACAGGTACTTGTGAGTTTAATTTATTGTTCCTGACCTGTGGACCCTATACATTGTAGGTGCAGCTATTGTGAGACCACCTGTCGGCCAATGGGAAAGCGTGTGATTGGACAAAATCATAATCATGGATCAGGGAAGTGATCTATGATACATGTACTGGTGTTCACCAGTGTACTACTGGTATGCCAAAATCAGAAAGAACGCTGCAGTTGGAAAAGAAAGCATGCCTACAATGGGCTTTTTTTACAACATTTTTTTTACGGAAGTTGACTGTTGTGAATGCATATCAGTTGTCAACTGAATGGTTCTCGGACTTTAGTTCCTTTTAATCATTTGTTTTTTTTTTAATCCTACAGAGCCATAAAACAGAAAAAAAAGTAAATCTAGCGGTACTTCAAAGCAAAAAAGCATTTTTTTTTTTTAAACAGCAAAAGTTTTTTAAGTGAATATTTTCTAAAAAAAAAAAAAAAAAAAATTGCCCGAGATTTGAACCCTGCACCTTTGGCACTCAAAATGCACCCATGTATATCTAACCCATTGTTCAGCTACCGAAGCCAAAAATTCAATCTCTGTCAGAATTTGAAACCTCACTTAAATTTGCGATATGTTGCAATTTTGTAACTTACATGTATAGCCACTGAAAAACATGTAAGGGCTATACATATGTAGCCACTTTTTTTTTTAAGTGGGACAAGTGGCCTGCCAAAGCATTATTATGTAGAGAAATATACACAACTTCACTAAATAATATGCATTGTAATATATACCAGTATATATATTTTTGTGTCTCTTGTTTGCTACATAATTTGCAGTCCTCATTGTGGTGTTATATATTCATTTTCTGTCTGTTTGAAGGTCACTCCAGCTATCATAAAACACACAATTATTCAGTGACAGAAAAACATGTACATGTACTTGTAGCCAGAAAAAAAAGCTCCACTGTAAACCTTTATGCATCAATTGTATCTGGCATGTAGACATGTGTACAAATGTAAGCTATATACTGTGTACGTTCATTTCTTGTTCACAATAAAAGGCACACACAAAAAATGTAGAAGTTAATTTCTAAACTTGTACTTCATGTACATGGCACCTACACTTGTCAGGACAATGACCAGATCCATGTACTGATCAAAAGGAAAATTCCACATAAAAATATCACCCACACCCACACAATTAAGTGGTTACACAATTGTTTTCCCCAACAATATTGCTGATACATACATGTACATATAGCATGTATGGTACATGTACATGTACATGTACATGTGTCAACCTCTGGAAGTGCCGAACAATTAAATTGAATCCTTCTGAATATTACATAATTACAGACGTCTACTTGTACTGGTACATTTAATCCCTTTTATAAATGTCAAACGTAGTTTCTATCAATTGGTTAAAGGAATGATCAACCATCCGCATGATTAATGTAAATCAAAACTACTTTTCAATGCACACATTTGAAAATTCCAACTGCATAATTGTGGTCAATGTTTTTTTTTTTATTACACAAGGTATTTAAATAAACTGTTATTTAAATGCCAAGTTATTTAGAGGCATACTTTGTATTCCAAAGCTGACTATTTGGAGGATATTGACTGTTGATAAATAGGTTATCATGTGCCAGTGAGAGAGGGAGACCTTTTATCAACACATCACATCTG